GAATTTTTTTTTTTTTCCTGTTTGCATGGTTCACTGCCTGCCTTTAGTATTCTCTGCTAGCTGCCTTTGCATTTCCCCGTTTTGTGAATTGTTGGCCTGGGTTGCCGTGGCAAGGGATTTATAAATGCGTTCTTTTCTTGCAACGGGTGTTCATTACACAGCAGTATAAAGCCATTAAACTTCCTGTGTAACTCTCTTAAGCTTCCTCCCTTAAGTTTAGGGGAACTTGTGTTTTATCATTTTAGAGTAAGCTATTAAAACCCCTTGACAACTTTATGAGCTGATTAAACACTCTTCAACTTTTTGTTTCTTCTCTAAAAAACAATGAAAATGGAAATAATGACAAAAATAATTATTTATTGAGTACATACCACAGACCAGGAAGTCTACTCTTTTCACATATTTAAAAATTTAATTCTTAGAACAACCCTAGAATTCTTCTTCTTATTATATAAAGAAACAAACACATAGGAAGTAATGTGCCCTAGGTCACTGAAAGTAAATTACAGATCTAGAACACAAACCCAGGTCTGGCTGACTCCTAAGTCTTTGCTTTTAACACTTTTCACTGAATTTTGAGATCTGTCTCTTCCAAGGGCCATTGCAGCCAAATTATTTTCCGGGCTGGAGAGACAATGACAAAGGCCATGATCACCTTAGTGGTAAAGAAATTCAGTCAAGGACTAGAATTGCCCAGTGGACAGAGAATTTCTACCTTTAGATCTCTTGTTCTGTAACAACTTTTATTTCATTGATTAGCACCCACTGAGGTTGCTTCTTTAAAAATTATTTACATGGAGGCCTAAGACATAGCAGCATCATGGAAGGTATTTATTTATTTATTTTAAATCATTTTTATAATTGAAGTGTAGTTAATTTACAGTGTTGTGTTGTATACAACAAAGTAATTCAGATATATATATATATATATATATATATATATATTCTTTTTCAGATTTTTTTCCAATATAGGTTATCACAAGGTATTGAATATAGTTCCCTGTGCTATGCGGTAGGTCCTTGTTGTTTATTTTATATATAGTAGTGTGTATCTGTTAATCCCAAACTCCTAATTTAACTCCCCACCCTGCTATCTCCTTTGGTAACCATAAGTTTGCTTCCTATGTCTGTGAGATGGACAGAACTTATTGCCCTGCATTAGATGGTCCACAATGACTAATGTAATGAAATGTACTTGGGATCCATGATGATGAAGGTGATGATGATGGTGATTTTCTTTTTTAGTCTGGGTTTATTTCTTGACTCCAAAACCAAAGTGTCAGTTCTTGGCCTTTTTTTCGAGTATGTTTTCCTTCCTCTGGAAGGTACAAGGAGTTATCTTTACTGGTTATACTCAGCTTGTAATTAAAAAAAATAAGCCCCTTTTCTAAAATGGGACTATACTCCAGATGTAGCTTCTTCTTTGGGAACTTGGTAGAAATGCAAATTCTTTGGCCTCTACTCCAGACCTCCTGAGTCAGAACCTCTGGATGTGGGGCTCAGCAATCTGTGTTTTAAGAAGCCCTGCAGGTGACTCTGGTCCTCAAGTTTGAGGCCCGCTGGTGTAGACACTCACACGCATCTTGCCCCACTTGCTCTCCTAGGCAACTTCAACCTCTCGCAAGGCTTTGATGGCTTCAAATATCTTCAACCAAGATGTGCTTTCTGAGCTCTCAGCTCAATATATCTACCTGTCCACATGATGTCTCTATTTGGATATGTCACTGGGACCTCAAACTCAACATCTTAATAAACATTTATGCTTCAAGTTAAGTGGCATTTTCTCATTGGACTAGGTTTTTTTGGCCTGCCATCTCTGCCATTGCACTCTATTAGAATTCCTTTGTTTAAACTATGCCTTCTCTGCCACACCAGTGCTTGGCGAGGGCAGGGACTGGGTCTGTCTAGCGATGGCTCACTTAGGATCATGACTAATATTTACTGAGTGAATGAATGGAAACTCTTATGTTCTCTATACCAGGGGTTATGGACTGAACTGAAATATTAGAACCCTAATCCCCAGTGTGGCTGTATTTGGATATAGGGCTGATAGGAGGCAATAAAAGTTAAATGAGGTCATAGGAGTGGGACCTTAATCTGACAGGACTAGTGGCCTTATAAGAAGAGGAAGAGACACCAAAGAGCTCTCTTGCTTTCTCTCCACGTTTATACAGAGGGAAGATCATGTGAAGACACAGTGAGAAGGTGGCCGTCTACAAGCCAGGAAGAGAGCTCTCACCAGAAACCAAACTTGCTGACACCTTGCTCATGGACTTCCAGCCTCTGAGACTGTGAGAAAATAAATGTCTGTTATTTAAGCCATCTAGTTGGTGGTGTTCTGTTACGGCAGCCCCAGCAGAGGTTGGGTTGACAAACGACGGCCCATGTGCCAAATCCAGCACACCACCTGTTTTTATAAATAAGGTTTTATTAGAACACAGTCATGCCATTCATTATGGCTGTCTCTGGCTGTTTTTGTGTCAGAACTGAGTAGTTGCTACAGAGACCTTCTGACCGGCATAGCCTAAAATATTTACTCTTTGGTCCTGTATAGAAAACATTTGCCCACCCTGATGTGTCTCCAGAAAGGCCAGATCCGGGTGCTGTTCTGTGCTACACTATGCTGAGCCCTCTAGGATGCCAGCCTGCCTGCGGGGACTTCATGTGGTCCCACAGCTAGCATAAACACACCTGAGCAAAAAAACAGTGTTATGGGGGAAAAACAACCTATTAGCTCGGAATTTATAAACAGGCTTTGGCATTTATTTGAACAAAGGAGGAGGAAAATGCTTACAACCAGAGATGGGGGGCCATCATGCCCCAGTTCCTTAACACATCGACTTACACATTCTATTTCATACATTGTCAAGAAAAATGAAGAGATTACCTGGGCATTCTTTTAATGCAGTGCTGGCTATGCAAATTTGATTGACCTTTTATGGCCTTGAATATTTTATAACTCTAAGAGGTAGACCTATAATAACAATAATGATTCTTATCTGAAAGCTTTGTAAATAATTCTTATCCATAGTCATACAAATGAATTTTGTCTGGGAGAGATGCAATTGATGACTCTCTGGTAGAAAAGATGATCTCAGAGAGTTTATGTCCCAGTAGGATATTAACCAGTTTTGTATATATTAGCAAATTCATTTCAGCATTTCTTTGACATAAATCTCAGTTCTTCAAAATCTCTTTTGAACTGGTTTTAAATATTTTTCTGGTTCTCTCATTCATGAAATGAATTTAAAAAACCACTGACACGTGTTTGTTTTATATATGTATGAGAGTTGTAAATTCTTTTGAAAATTATAACATGAATACAACCTATTCCCCCTTCCATGGGTTGCTTTGGGGTCAGCTGGGAAGGAAGAACCTCATGACATGCAGGTAAGAAAGATGAGAGCTAGTGACACTTAGCAAGGGATGGGGCAGTGGAACGTTGTGGACCACTATTAGCACTCTTCAGAAAGGTCATAAGGAAAGAGTAATGATAAACATCTGAAAGAGGTCACAGTATTTATCCACTAAAACATTGAGCATTTGTAAAGCATTCTTGATATTTGTGCTGGGGAGAAACACATTAAGGATTTCTTTGTTACTTGGGATTTTAACTTCCAGGATTTGTGACGTGAAGTTCTTTTGCTTATGGAGGCTGTTTTCCTCTTCACAAGGCTGGGAAACACTTAACTCCAGGCATGTTGCTCCTGCTGCAGATGCTTGCTTGTCCCCTGGCAGATGTTCTATGTGGATATAATTTCCTGGGGCCAGAGCCACGATGCCACCTTAGTTATGGCTGTCCGTTTGAGAAGACCCATTCTGTTCTCTGTGTAGGACTCCTCATGAACATACATGTCTGCCAACCGCACATTTCACAGAAAGAGTTTCCACTGGAGCATCACCTCTGGCACAGAGCCGCTTCTCCACCACCCATCACCTCCTGAACAATGGTCACATGCTGCACATTAACTCGCGTTAGACAGTACTTACGATACTGCAGGGATGGAGCCCTCCCCAAGACGGTGTCCACTTACAACAATCCACTTCTCGTCTCCCCTGAAAAGACAACTGTCAGCTGTGGTTATGCTCACCTTAATACCCAGATTTTTCTTCTCTGTTCAAGAAGAACGCCACCATTGAGATTTCTCTTGCAGGAAGCATTCACAGAGTAGAAAATACATAGGGCAAGCCAATGGAAGTCAGCAGGCTCTGTGCCGAGGTGGAGGCTGTCCTGATGAATATCCAGGCACCATTTCACTGCTCTGGGACTTCAGATACCCGCTGGTTCACTGTGTGAGTCCTCTGAGGGGTGCTCACTTCAGAGTGTTCCCAGCCTAAGGGGAAATCCAGAGGACAGGGATGCCTTGTCCTTGAGGACTCCTAAGCCCAATGAAGGCCTCAGGGACCTAGGAAGATGGAAAGCTCAGAAAGGGGGTGGAAAAGAGTCAAAGACACAGGGCATCCTCACTATTTGAACTAAGACTTCTCTGTCTAGGTCATAAATCACTTATGGGCCTATGAACTGCCAAACAAGAAAACCATTATTTCACTCCCTTTTATTTAGAAGGAAATAATACCACTTCTAACCTTGATTTTGAGCTCTTTTCTTAGAGGGTTAAGAAATGAATTCTACTTTTTCAGGAGAGACAACAGGATGAATTAGGAGAGGAAAAGGTTCAAGACATTTCTAAAGGGGACTGTGCAATAGCAATACTCAGCCACCAGAGGGCAGTGTAGACGTTCTGGAGGGTCTGGAGAGAGGAAAGGGGTACCGAGAGAAAGGACGGTAAAACGCAAATTTAAAGTTAAGTTTCGTCTGGTAAAGTTAGAATTAAAAACAAACAAACAAACAAACAAAAACACCCGGTAGTAGAGTCTTTCCTTTCATTCTGCTCTGTGTGCTCCGGATGAAAACTGACACTTCGGGAAAGTGAGTGGGTGGCTCCCAGCCGGGCTGAACTTGCGCCAGCAGCTGACTTCCAGTAAGGGAGCTTGTGCAAGAAGGAGAGCGAATCCAGGGCTGGCGGGGGAGTCCCCGCCCCGTTTTCCGTATCCGGTGTTTGCTGGAAGAAAACCGCTCCTGCCTGACCTTTTATTACCCAAGCTCTGCTTCCGTGGCTCGTCCTGTGACGCAGGAAGGGACTGGGTCCGAACAGGGTTCCTTCCTTTAGGGAAGAACGAGGTACAAGAGGTAGGAATTCTTCCTCATTCTGAATTTCTTCACTTTTGTTTTCTGTTAAATCATTAAGGTTACCTGGTCACCTAGTTCACCGCAGGGTGTCGTGGAATTTAGGGAGAAGAGGAGTAGACCTCCTGGAAGGCTTGCTTAAAAGCTGGCACCCAGTGCTTTCTGCCACTGCTTGTTTGTAGATAGTCGAAACCAACAGAATAAGAAGCTCAGATGTGGCTCTGAGAAGTTTCTGGTATTGGTCAGGACCTGAGTGACCTGTAAGATCTCATTCTCCACTAGGCTGAGAATTTGCCTTCCCTCCACGCCATTTACTTTTCTGTCCCCAAATATGCTCAGCTCCAGTGTCCTGGCTCTCCAGAGAGCACCAGGTGACAATTTAGTTGGAATAATTAACACAAAGCTCCAGATTCAAATAATATGCGCCCCCTCCAGTTAGCAGTTTTAAAATTGTGGTAAAGTGTATATAACAATATTTATCATTTTAATCATTTGTAAGTGGATAATTTAGTGATATTAAATACATTCACAATGTTGTGTAACCATCACCACTATGTATTTCCAAAATTTTTTGTCGTCCCCAACGTAAACTTTGTATGCATTAAAAAATAACTTCCTCATTCCCTGCACATACACCCCCTTACGCGGTCCTGTACCCTGTATTCTACTTTTTGTTTCTATGAATTTGCCTATTCTCAGTTTCTCCTATAATTAGAATCATGCATTTGTCCTGTGTCTGGCTTATTAGCGTAATGTTTTCAAGGTCCATCCATGTAGTGGCGTATGCTAAAATTGTTATTCTTTTTTTATGGCTGAATAATGTTCCATTGTATGTATACACCACATTTATTTATCCACTCACCTGTTGGTGGACATGGGTTGTTTCCACTTTTTGGCTATTGTGAATAATGCTGCTATAAACATTGGTGTACAAATATCTGTTTGATTCCCTGCTTTCTTATGGATATATACCTAGGAGTGGAATTGCTAGGTTGTATGGTAGTTGCATGTTTAATTTTTTGAGGAGCTGCCCAGTTGTTTTCCCCAGCGGCCGTACCAGCAAAGCATGATGGTTCCAATTTCTCCACATCCTAACTAATGTTATTTCCTGTGTGTGTGTTTAAATTATTATTATTATTTTGCGGTGCATGGGCCTCTCACTGTTGTGGCCTCTCCCGTTGCGGAGCACAGGCCCCGGACGCGCAGGCTCAGCGGCTATGGCTCACGGGCCCAGCCACTCCGCGGCATGTGGGATCTTCCCGCACCGGGGCACGAACCCGTGTCCCCTGCATCGGCAGGTGGACTCTCAACCACTGCGCCACCAGGGAAGCCCTAAATTATTATTTTTATTATAGCCATTCTAGTAAATATGAAGTGATATCTCACTGTGGTTTTGACTTACATTTCCATAATGACATGATGCTGAACATCTTTTCATTTGCTTATTGGCCTTTTGTGTATCTTTTTTGTTTGGAGAATGTCTACTCAATTCTTTTGCCCATTTTTTAAAAATGGAAGTATAGCTGATTTACAATATTGTGTTACAGCGAAGTGATTTACAATATTGTGTACAGCAAAGTGATTCAGTTATATTATATATATATATTTTTTTCAGGTTATTTTCCATTATAGGTTATTATAAGGTATTGAATATAGTTCCCTGTGTTATACAGTAAATCTTTGTTGCTTATCTGTTTTATGTACAGTAGTTTGTATCTGTTAATCCCAAACTCCTAATTTATCCCACCCCGGTCTTCCCATTCCCCTTTGGTAACCATAAGTTTGTTTCCTATGTCTGTGAATCTGTTTTTGTTTTGTATATAGATTCATTTGTATTACTTTTTGGATTCCATATATAAGTTATATAATATTTGTCTTTCTCTATCTGACTTACTTCACTTAGTATGACAGTCTCTAAGTCCATCCATGTTGCTGCATTCTTTTCTATGGCTGAGTAATATTCCACTGTCTATATGTACCACGTCTTCTTAAACCAATTGTCTGTTGATACTTGGCCCATTTTTGAATTGAGTTGTTTGCAGACCTTCAGGAAGTCTTTACACATTCTGAATATTAATCCCTTATCAGATATATGGTTTCTAAATATTTTTCCCCATTCTGTAGGTTGTCTTTTCACTTTCTTTGATTCTTCTAATTTTATTTATTTATTTATTTATTTATTAAATTTTTAGTTATGTTTTGATTTTCCCTAAAAACTGACATATCATTGAGACTATACTGATGTTGACAGACCAGGGTTATAAATATATTTATGGGAAAAATTGTTGCATTAACTAAACAAGCTCTTGCACCAGGAACAGCCCCTGGGCATTTATATTCGACTTCTGCTACATTTCCAGGGGCAGGCCACCCTGATATGGCATGTTCATGAAAAGTAAGTAGCACTGAATACTGGCAAGTCCCCATATAACCTCTGCAGAAACGTTATATGGAAGGCATTTCTTCTGGGACTAGTAAGAACTTGCTGTTATTTACAGTAGCATGTTTCTTTCCTATTTTCATTTTGCCAAACTTTGAGTATTTGACAGTGCTTTTTTTTAAAATTTTTGAATTTTATTTTATTAATTTTTTTATACAGCAGGTTCTTATTAGTCATCAGTTTTATACACATCAGTGTATACATGTCAATCCCAATCGCCCAATTCATCACACCACCACCCCTACCCCCGCGCCGCTTTCCCCCCTTGGTGTCCATATGTTTGTTCTCTACATCTGTGTCTCAACTTCTGCCCTGAAAACCAGTTCATCTGTACCATTTTTCTAGGTTCCACATACATGTGTTAATATACTATATTTGTTTTTCTCTTTCTGACTTACTTCACTCTGTATGACGGTCTCTAGATCCATCCACGTCTCAACAAACGACCCAGTTTCGTTCCTTTTTATGGCTAATATTCCATTGTATATATGTACCACTTCTTCTTTATCCATTCGTCTGTCGATGGGCATTTAGGTTGCTTCCATGACCTGGCTATTGTAAATAGTGCTGCAATGAACATTGGGGTGCATGTGTCTTTTTGAATTATGGTTTTCTCTGGGTATATGCCCAGTAGTGGGATTGCTGGATCATATGGTAATTCTATTTTTAGTTTTTTAAGGAACCTCCATACTGTTCTCCTTAGTGGCTGTATCAATTTACATCCCCACCGACAGTGCAAGAGGGTTCCGTTTTCTCCACACCCTCCCCAGCATTTGTTGTTTGTAGATTTTCTGATGATGCCCATTCTAACTGGTGTGAGGTGATGCCTCATTGTAGTTTTGATTTGCATTTCTCTAATAACTTGTGATGTTGAGAAGCTTTTCATGTGCTTCTTGGCCATCTGTCTGTCTTCTTTGGAGAAATGTCTGTTTAGGTCTTCTGCCCATTTTGGATTGGGTTGTTTGTTTCTTTAATATTGAGCTGCATGAGCTGTTTATATATTTTGGAGATTAATCCTTTGTCTAGGGCACATAACTTTTTGTGCCCTAAAAAGGAGGCAAACAGCCTCATACCTCATCAGAACTTGGAACACGAGGAGAGTGTGTCATGATAACCTCTGAGAGATAAGGTGGTGAGTAGGAAATGGCCTTGTAGCAGCTGCTCAGAAGCTTCCCAGACTCTCATGTTCTGGAAGGATCATAGGGCATTCTCAAGACTTAGATCAGCTACAGACAAGTCTTGCCTATGTGGCCTATGTGGAAACATGCAAGGTCACCAGGATGCCATGGCAGAGTCATTCCCCAACAGAACCAAGAATTGTCAGAGGTGAGGAATGCTCCCATCAGCTGTACCATTTATGATTGTACAAACTGAAAGTTAGAAATGCTGTGCATCTACTATGGGCTTCCTGATGCCACTGGGTGTGAGGCCAAAAAGGATGCTATCCAGTATTCAGTAAGGTAATCAGTGACCAGAATGTATGTCACTATATCTTTCTATAATAGGCAATAATCAGTAATAAAATACATTGGGAAAAAGGTCACTTTCAAAATGACAAAAAAGTATTAAATACCTGAGAGTAAAATAAGAAATGACTAAGTCCTGTGTGGGGAGGAGAAAAGAAGAGAAAACTTTACTTAAGAACCTAATAAAAGATTCAAGGAAACGGAAGCACATAATATGATCCTTTATAGAAAGACCTGATATTTTCTTTTGCGAATTTCACCCCAAATTACTCAATAAGATAATCTGAAGTTTAAGATTTTTATTTAGAAAAGTAAATAAGCAGGAATGTCAGTAAAAAAAAGTTTGAAAAAGAAGTGTGTTATTCACACAGCAACAGGAAGTTGGTCAGTGGGGCCACAGGCACAACATCATGTAGCAGTGGAGACTCTGAAGGGGGAACTAGAAACAGGCTACATTTAAAAGATCAGCTCAAACCGACTGCTGTTTGTACTTATTTCCTGGATGCCAAAAACGTTTTTGAAGTCACTCTCAAATTCAGCTTCTAGCTGAAGCCCCAGATTGATGAATTTATTGTTCTGAAAAAGCAAAGGCAAAAACAATGATAGCCATAGATTGCTAATGAGCTTAGACTCTCAATGTTTTGGTTAATCAGAGTTTTATTTTAGACCATCCCAAATGTTAAGTGAGAATTAATCCAGTTGAGGATAGTTTATGTTTCCTGATAGCTGGATCATTTCTCTTTATCTGGAGGACAGAGGAGCAAAAATGGCGCTATACTGCAGTCTAATTCTTCATCAGAAATTTATTGATTAATTTAAAAAATTCTAGTTACTTGATTTTGAACACAGCCCATATCCCTTGTGACACCATAATAGTACAGAAATGTCTAAGGCAAGTTCGTGGTGCCTTCCTTTATCCTTCATTCCCCACCCCTTGAGGTGATCCTTGTTAACTTTTTGATCCAACACTAGGAAATTCTAATGTAAAGAAATCCAAAATTTTGAAATTTGAGAAATGTGATTTGGTATCTTCCTTTAGAGATGAGAAACACGAGTAGCCTTTAAAATGTGCTTCTAGCAGATGAGAGAATTGGCCTCACTTCTCTACGAGCATCAAGGCCATGAGGGTTCTGCCTATAAGAAACTTTCCATGCTCTGCGTCCAGAGTGCAGTACTGGAACTGCTGGAAATAGGCAGATGCCCAGGTGTGGGGAGATCCCTGTCCACTCCTTCCTGAGGGCCCGGATGCCGGCGGGCAGTTACACAGCAACCAACTGCACATGGACATACTCTGTGTCTCTGCATCCAGTCTCCCTAGGATGGTCCCCAAGTCTGGGCCAAGTAAGGACCTGAGCCTGGGCCAATTGCAGGGACTTCTGAGCCACACACAGTGCTGCCAGGTCTAGTAAAAAAATAAAAAGCACTTCCATTTCCGGTGGAAGGGACTAGGTCTGCAATCCACTGTTATCTATGGGCAAATTGAGTATCTAGAAGGAGTAAATTCTGAGGTCCTAGGGTAATGTTTCCAATGATACCTCTGGTCTGTTATTATCTTCCACACCATAGTCCACAGGGCTTGGAGAATACTGCCAGAATTTTTACCTGTGTGGGCTTGCCACATGATAAGGGAAATTGTAACATTGACCTGATACAAGAAGGTGAAAGGCAAAATGACTTAATTGAAAGAAAAATAGAAGCAGGGAGAACTGTTTACCTTGTAAAACGCCCTGTGGTTCTGGAAGATGAGACGCATGTCCCGCACAAACTCCCGTACTCGGTGATATATGTTCATCGTCAGATTTTTCTTGATTTTGTTTAACCACATGGGCTTCTCCAGGCCTTGAGATGTCTTTGTATTATGTTGACAAAAGTGCCAAAGGGCATTAGCATGGTTCCAAGTCTACCTTCTACAGATTCCCACAGTTATGGACTGAGTGCTTGTGTCCCCCAAATTCATATGCTAAAATCCTCACCCCCACTGTGATGGTCTTAGGAGGTGGGACAATTGGAAGATAATTAGGTCATGAGGGTGGAGCCCTCATGAATAGGATTAGCACCCTTATAATAAAAGGACGCCAGAGACCTCTCTCCCTCCCTTTCCACCATGTGAGGACAAAAAGAGAAGTTGGTTGACTGCAACCTGGAAGAAAGCCCTCATTAGGACCTGACTGTGTTGGCACCCTGATCTCGGATTTCCAGCCTCCAGAACTGTGAGAAATAAATTCCTGTTGTTTAAGCCACCCAGTCTATGGTAGTTTGTTACAACCGCCTAAGCTTCTAAGGGCTGATTGAGCTGTCTAAGATATTTATCAACAAGGCAAAGATAATGGCAATGTGTACCCATTGGATTCATATCACAAATTCAACAAATGCCAGGTTGGGGTTTTATTGCTGTTACTTACATAATATGGTTCTGAGGCAAAAAAAGAGCTTTTTGGAGAGCAATAGACCTTTAAGAGGAGGAACTCACACTTCTGCAAAAGATAGAGGAGATTTTAAGTGAAGAGCAGCTTGGAAAGAATGAGCTCTTACATATGCTCAGATAAATGCACAACTCTCCAACCTGCAGACCCCTGAAACAAACACAGAATGGGAATTTTCTGTGGCATATGAATTTTGGTGTCAGGTAACGTGATCAGAGCACAACAAGCGACAGCAGTTTGCCTTGGGCACCATTCCTCCTGCCCCCGGCAAGATGGTGCTTCTTCTCTTGTGTAAACAGAAAGGAGGAGGCTTAGGTTTACATTTCAACTCACTAACTTCTCTTTACTCAGCATCAGCTTCTTCAGGACCTCAGATTGCTGATGACATGGTTGGCTTTCTGGGCACCTTTCCTGAAGATCCTTTATCTTGCAGAAAGTGCAGCTCCATGGGTTCCTGAGAGGTCGGATATAAGGTCAGCAAAGGCAGTTTCTCTGTGAATCAACCATTGTTTCTATAGCTGTTAAAGTCCTCTGTTCAGGAATGACTGGTAGTTTCCACCTGTATTCAACTTCTCTCTGACACCCCTCTGCACTAGAGCCCCATTTGGGCTCAACTGCCGAAGACAGCCCTCCCATCAATAACTGTAGAAGGCTAAGTAAGGTGCCATGGTGCGTAAGGACACTCATTCACTTCAAAACTTAGGTTCTCATCTGAGCCACTGTGAGTTTGGTAATGAATTCTTCCTGCCCGAAACGAGAAGGGGAAATTGGTACCTTAAGTACTGGAGTCTTGGGCCTCAATGAGACATCAACTCAGTAAAAATCAGGAAAACAGCCCTTCTTCTCAACTTTGCTGAATAAGCACAGAGCATAAGCCATAGGCATCGTTTTTTCTGGCATTGTCATCTCTGTGTCTAGCATCTGTGATGCAGAAACTTCTTGGAAAGGAAATCTACCAATAGAGTGACAGGTATCTTCCATTTGCCCCTAGATCTCCACTACCAGGTTCTCTGTGCTGGGGAGCTCTCAATTCTCAATAATCTGAGACCTGGATACAGTGATCCATCCTAGAGATGTCATTTAACCTCTCTCCTTGGCCACCCCAGTGCTTGCTCAAGGGGCAAGCATTACAGTGTCCACAGTGCAGGGGTGGGGACTCTACATGAGCTCAAAAAAAACGTGGGGCTTTCTGCCTCTGCAGATTGCCCAACTGCAGAGGTTTACGCTGAATCCTGCGGTGACACATTCTCTGGGACTTACATAGGAGCAGATGAATTACACTAGACTCCTCCCATTATGGAGGAACAGTGCTCTATCCTCATAGGAACAGACATAATCCTGGTAGAGATCATCCTTGGCCACAGCAATTCTACCACTTCTAGAATGCCTTATCAATCTACGTGTTAGCTCACATATCATCACATCTGACTGAAGATACACTTTACAACAAAGGAAATGCAGCAGTGGACTCATACCCGCAGAATTCAGGGATCTTATCATGTACCTTGTGATTCAGGGTCAGATGACTTGATAGACTGCCGTGATCACCTTCTGAAGGCTCATCACAGTCCCAGCTTTGTCAGCTATGTGATGTTCCCATAGCAGGTGGTATATGTGTTAAACCAGCAGCTAATGTATGGCAACGTAACCCCATCAAAGTGCATGGGTGTGGGAACCACCTGAGGGACGTGGGGGTTACTTCTCTATTATACCTAATCACCACTTGAAGAGTTTTCTTCTCATTAATCTACTGCTGCCAGCACTGTTCTTATTTCTGGATCCTGATGCTTAAGGACTCTTCTTCTGAATCAAGACACATACAACCAGAGAAAATTGCAGGCTGAGTGTGCATGGTGGGAGGAGCTGTACCACAGGAAGGAAGGGCAGGAGGGGGCCAAGTCTCACTAACCTGTCAGCATCTTTAGGTGGGATGTGGCATTTCTCATGAAAGAACCTCGAACAAGTATTACAGGAGAACAGCGTGGTCTTTCCACGGCATACCTCGCATTCATTTGAGTTTTCTGGCTAGAAGGGGAGATAATATAGACATCACTGGGATCAGTGAGACCCTAGATAGTCGACACATTGGTACTCTAGAACACACAGCATTTACTTGTACCAAGGTGATACTTGTAAACCTTTCTCCTCAAAATAGTAAGGAACAATACTGAGTGGAGATTTCAGAAGAAGACATGCTGGTTTGCAGTGAAGCTCAGGAGGAAGTGGCTGTGTGTTAGACCTTTAAAGTTTTCTTTATAAAGACAGAGGTTCTGACACAGGAAGGCTTGTAACAGCAACAAAATAGGATCAATTAAAGATAATCTGAGAAATTTAATATTCTGCAGGCAAAACCTAACTCAGGAATACAGTGTCTTATCTAGTTGTCTACCATGCATCATCTAAATTGCCTCATTGAAGAGTGATTTACTGACAATTTAATATGACAGAATAAACATCTGAGATATCCCTGCATCCCATTTTCTTGGCCATAAGTTCTCCATGAGTTGAAGGGCCTGGGGATGAGTTTCTGGTCTATGGATTTTGTGCCTAGAGGGCCCCTGAGCCTGTGACAGTGCCTCTGGTTGGAAAGACCATGGGCACAGATAACCCGGTGGATGCCAGGGATGACAGAGCTCTTTGACTCTGGGAGCCTAGGGGAAGCTGTCCTATGACTTAGCTTGGCGAGTAAGGTGTGGAGGTGCCATGTCTCAATGGCTAGGGAGTGTGGTAATGGCAACCACTGGAGTTGAAGGCCAAGGCTTTACCCTAATTTTCTGAGCCCGTGGAAACCTGGTGCTTTGTCCTGTAAAAGGAAGATGGATGGGGCCACAAAATTAATTGGTGCTGGATTTTTCATCAATCTCAATATGTGGGACCTTTAGCCAGATTTTATTTCATTTGTGAAGTTAAAAATTTGACAGTGTTTGCATCTAAGTATCGTGGAGTAACAAACACACGTTAAAACAACAGAATTTATAGACCAAAATAAGAATTGTTCAAGGAATGAGCCCATTGGTGGGCAAGGGGAATTACATTTTTTCCTTTTCTTTTTGGTGTTAATCTATGTGGCAATAACATGTGAATCCCTATATACTACAATTTCTATGTATGAGGGTCGTGTGTCTGTGCTGGAGAAATGGCCAGAGGATGGGCACCTGGCCCCTCTCCTGGGCCACCTGAGTGGAAAGAGAACCATGTGGTGAGGAAACATTTCATCCAATGGGTAGCAGCTCTTCATCATAGATGAAGCTATCCTTTCTACACCATGGGCTGGAAGAAGGAATTCACATCCTTGTGTGACAATCTACATACAAAACAATGCATAGACTTGGGGACTGGCCCACCCAGTGATGGGTAGCTGGGATTTTGGTGGGTGGTGAGGAAATGGGGAGGTGGCAGGGAGTGCCATTCCGCCTCTTCCTTCTAGAAACACTCTATGCTTCGTTCCATGACACTCCATTCTCTTAGATTTTTTCCTAGCACTTTGCTTCTTTTTTTAAGCTTCCTCACTTGGAAAGTTGGAATTCTGTAGGGCTCTGCCCCATGTTCCCTGCTCATTTTACTCTCCTAGATGGCCACGACTACTCCCGTGACCACACCTACCACATTTGTCCCTAGGCTTTAAGATCTGTGTCTCTGGTCTCTTTGTGAGTCCCTGAGCATCCAAACTCTACTTTCCATCATCTCCAATTAGATGTCTATCATCATGTCTAAAACCCATATTGCCCCCAAACCACAGTCCTTGACTTCCTGTCTTGAATCTGCTCCTCTTTCAGTGCCCCCCTCATCTCACTAAGCACCCCACCATCCACCCAGGAGCCTGGAAGTGAACACAGATTCCTCCCTTTCCTCACCCCAGACATCCAGCCCATCACCAGTCCTGCTGTCATTTTTAAATATCTCATCTCATTCTTAGTGCTTCTGTGAGGTCCATTGCTTACAAGAATGCAGAGCCCCTACTTATAATACAATATTATGAGCCAAAGCAAGATGTCCTGCTATTTCCAAATCATAACAGAATATCATCCCTGAGCCCAGTGAGCTGAGGTGAATTGGAACACACCTCAATTTGTAAATTCTTTTCATCTATAAATTCAATATAAGAAGAAGAGACACAAAACTCACACATGGGAGGAAATTCTAGGCCGTAAGCTGTATCTCGTGCATGTGCTCCCTTTCAGTAGGAGAGCTCGAGGAATGGCCTGTTAGGGACATCCTTGGGGACATCCCCACATAGACTTGAGTGGCCCTGGCATGGGGCCATGTAACCGCTTTTCCTTTTTCTCATCCTAATAGATGCTGACCACTATTTTTAGGCTACTGGCTCAGGGTTTCTTATGCCATTTGGTCCTGAGAGGACACAAATGGCAGAAGCCAAGGGGCTGGGAAAGGAAGAGAGGCTCTGGAGAGACCCTCTGAGAACTGAGGTGGTCACACCTTAATAGCTGTAAGCGCAGAGGGAACAGAGAGAGGGCGCCTGTGATAAAGGGTGGGAGACGGTCAACTCAATTGATTAACCCAGACTGAATTACCCTTGACTCCCTAGGACTGGGCAGAAACATTTGGCCTTAATAGCATCTCTTTCTTCAGAAAACCCAGTGGATGCAGAGCTTAGTTACTGAGTCTTTAGCATAAAGTCAGTTGAGCTGGTAGCCCCAGAAACCAGCTTTGTGAAGACCTCGACTTCCTGGTTTGACTGAGATGACCAAGGTCACTGCTGTTGGAAGTCAGGAAAATGGAAGTTTTTCTATTTCCTTTTTTCACTTCACATGTTCTCTCTCACACCCTGTCTTGGAGAGGAAGACATCAACTATCTGACTGCCTTCCCTGAAATCCACACAGCATAGAAACCACTGGTCCATGAACTTCACATGCTACTTTGAAGGAGAGAGAATTTGCCTTCATAGATGGAACTGCAGTCTGCAAAGCCCCTCTGTTGGGGCCAAAGGGCCTCTACACAAAGGAAAGAGCTTTCCAGGTCAGCAGCCTCTCCCACAGGGCACATCTGCTTCCCAATCACTCTATTCTCTAAAGGGTCATCTCCATAAAGGAAATAAAGTTTCCCTTGAAAAAGGACTTAGCATAAGTGTGTGTGTGCATGTGAAGGAGAGGTTTTGTTTTTTTGCTTTACCAGGTGACATATGGCTATATATCCGTTCCAAAGGGGGATTCTACATTAGGTCTATAATAGGTTAGCTAGAGTGACCATGAGATGTTTCCATTTTGCTCAATTCTTATTTCATTAAAGCTAGAACCCAGAAAAACCAATGAAAATAAAATCAGTGTTGCAAAAGCAATAGTCATTAAATGTACTTTTTTGTGCCTTTCAAAATCATACTTTTCCAGCTCCAACTCCATCTTTTATGTCTAATTTTAAGATAGCATGCCCTCTGTAATGGCCTATATGGGAAAAGAATCTTAAAAAAAAGAGTGGATGTATGCATGTGTATAACTGATTAACTTTGCTGTACACCTGAAACTAACACAACATTGTAAATCAACTATACTCCAAAAAAAAAAAAAAAAAAAAAAAAAGTATAGTAAGAGTTCCATTCCGAGAGTGCCTTTGTAATTCCAGCAAAGTTAGCCTAGGTACCCAACTAACACAATCGGCTATACAGTACTGTACCGTAATAGGTTTATAATACTTTTCACACAAATAATACATAAAAAACAAACACAAAAAGTAAAGAAAACATTTTTTTTTTTTTTTTTTTTTTTTGCGGTACGCGGGCCTCTCACTGTTGTGGCCTCTCCCGTTGCGGAGCACAGGCTCACGTAACGTTCTACATTCGGGCCTGCACCTCAGAAACTAACAGTGCCTCTTCAAATAAAGAAAATCCCCTTGCCATTTCCTACGTTGTGAATCTCTTCGGTTCTTCAGTTACTTCTTCCTCTTGTCTCTCTCTGTCCTTCCTCTGGGCCTTCAATTCCTGGGTCTTCCTAGCAGTACCAGCTACATCACCACTGCTTTTACACTTGCTTTCGGACAACCTGAGCTTGAAATAAAGACACTGTACTACTGTACTCTCTACAGTCCTGTACAGTAAAGTACACAAAAGCACAACCACTTATAGAGGATGCGCGCACGTTACAATGTACACCAGACACGGGAACTAACTTAAGTGATTGGACGTGCGAACGCACGTTCGCATTTTTGAAAGCTCGCAACTTGAAGGTTCGTATGTTGGGGACTTACCGTATGCCATTCACATATTTTTCTAAAACAAATGTACAAGGTCAGTTCTGCCTCATTATATATTTTTAAGGATTACCCCTGCGCCTCTATCTCAAATGTTTTAATGCTCAAAGAAGTCCTGGCCGCACACGCTGAAATGTTTGGAAGTAGCAAGTGTAAAAAGCACCATATTATAAAATCAAGTTTCAACATAATTGGTTAATTTAGAAACCATAAAATAAAGCCAGAGAGATGGAAAGTCAACAATGTGGTAGATGAGACATGGCCAGAAGGTCCTGTGATAATTACCTTTTTTCTTTTTCTTGGTGGGTCTCGTAGAAAATCGTCCTGAAAGAAAAATGAGATTCATGCTGTGATGGGTCCTTGTTTCTACTTTGTGAGATCGGTAATTCCACTACCTTCCCCTCATGTCCCATTATCAACATAAACTCAAGGGGCCTTCATGGAAAATAACCTCCCTCTCCAAGTCTGTAACATGGTGCTCTCTGTTATCCAGACTCAGCTTTAAAGCCAGCTTTAAAAACTGCATCCTCTCTCTTGCTCTCCTTAGAAAGTTTTGCCAGATTTTCCTTTACAACCGCGTCTACACCCACCACTTCCTTTCCATTCTCCCAGTACCCCTCTAGCTTTTATCTTTATACCTTGCGTGCTATAGCTCCATTGGCACACACCTGGTGAGTGATTGACAGCTGGCAGACCCCATCAGTGGCCTTGGACACACAAAGGTATCCAGGCCTTCGGGGAGACAAGTGGGAAAACCTGGCATATAGTGGGGTAAGGATGATAAAGTGTAAACTGTGCTCTCATGGAGTATTTTGGGATCCAGAGATGGGTGAGTATAGTAGGCTAAATAATGCTCCCCCGACCCATGAATTTGTTCTAATCCCCCGACCCATGAATGTGTCAACTTACATGGTAAAAGGAACTTTACTAATGTAATTAAATGAAGGAGCTTGAAATGGAAGATGATTCTGATTATCTGGGTAGGGCCAATGTAATCGCAAGGGTCCATACAAGAGCGGGTAGGAGGGTCAGAGTGAGTAGTAGGAGATGTATTGACAGAAGAAGAGGTTGGAGTGATGTGAGGAAGGGGCCACGAGCCAGGAAATGAAGGCTGCTTCCAGAAGCTGAAAAAGGGGAGGAACACATTCTCCCTGGAAGGCTCCAGAAGGAACCACCCCTGCCGACGCCTTGACTTGAGTCCAGTGAAACTGATTTCATACTTCTGGTCTCTAGGACTGTAAGATAATAGATTTACATGGTTTCAAGGCACTGAGTTTGTGGGAATTTTTTATAGCAGCAATAGGAAACAAATTCAGTGAATTTTAAAGGACTTCAGCACAGAGTGTGCTGTTTGAGCTGGGCCTTGCAGGTCGAATGGGGTGGATCAGGCAGAAAGGTGGTGAAGGTCATTTGAGGTCTCCATGGGTTAAAGCACTCTACCCTCTTATCCATCTTGCATTCCTTGATCAGATTCATACCTCTAAAACACTCTTTCAACTTTGTCAGTCCCTAACCCAAACCTCCAACAATTCCTCCATGATTAAATGAAGGGTTCAGCCTCCTTTCTGGGGCCGCAGGACCTCCACAATCAGCCCAGCTCATGTATTGAGTCTTATAACCCACAACTTCTTGACACTCCTGGGGAGGATTTTCATGCCATCCTTTCTATATAGAATTCCTCATTATGACATTTTTGCTTGTCAGAACTATTCTTCTTTTAAGACCCAGCTCAGTGCAAACTGTTCCATGAAACTGTCCTCAACCTCAAAGACAGAAATGAACTTCCCTCCCCTAAGCTTCTGCATCTCTTCCTGCCAGAGAATCTCATTATGGCATCTATGAGCTGTGCAATCCTATGTTTATAAACGTGCAGCCTTCCTCCTGGTTAGGGGCTGGGGGCCACACCTTACAGTCCCTGTGGCTTTAGATGTATTCAATAAATATTTGCTCATCATTAGAGTGGCACAAGGAAGGACCATCTGGGGCACATGACAGAGTCAGAAGGCATGGGTTCATCTGTGACAGAGACCCGGCCCGTTTTGTCCACATCAGGGGGCCGAGATGAGAACCAAAGGGATATTTTTTTTTTTGCGGTACGCGGGCCTCTCACTGTTGTGGCCTCTCCCGTTGCGGAGCACAGGCTCCGGACGCGCAGGCTCAGCGGCCATGGCTCATGGGCCCAGCCGTTCCGCGGCATGTGGGATCTTCCCGGACCGGGGCACGAACCCGCGCCCCTGCATCGGCAGGCAGACTCTCAACCACTGCGCCACCAGGGAAGCCCCAAAGAGATATTTTTAAATTCATTTAAAAATATTATTTTTCAAGAATGAATTTCAGGTGGCTATCCAGAAAACACTCATTCTGATATATTATTTTCAGACACATAGTTCTATTATTGTTACTTTCAACATTGGCCCCCTCCAAAAGTCTAAGACCCTCCCACGCCAAATTTAGTTTACTTTCCTGTGACCAAATTACCCAGTGGCAATTATTAGTGGCAGTGCCAAGGCCATAATTTACTGTCCTACCTTCAACAGTGTAAGAGTTTGAATACTATTCAGCCATAAAAAAGAACAAAATGTTGTCATTTGCAGCAACATGGATGGACTTGGAGGGCATTACATTAAGTGAAATATGTCAGATGGAGAAAGACAAATATTGTACGATATCACTTATATGTGGAATGTAAAAAATATAACAAACTAGTGAATATAACATAAAAGAAGCTGACTCATAGAGAACAAACTAGTGGTTACCAGTGCGGAGGGGGGGAGAGGCAACATAGAGGTGGGGGAGTGGAGGTATAAACTATTGGGTGTAGGATAGTCTCAAGGATGTATTGTACAACATACAGCCAATATTTTGTAATAACTGTTAACTGTAAGTGGAAAGTAGCCTTTAAAAATTGTATAAAAATTAAAAAAAATTTTTTAAGTGTAAGAGTTTATGCACTTAGAGGATTAAGCTGTAATGTAAGCCAGCAAATATAACAGCCACATGGAATGTTAGTGATAATGTGCGCATGTGACCCAGGCAAGGGGCGTCATGATGGTTTTCTGGAAATTCTGCTAAAGCTGGAAGTTGATGACTTGTGGCACTAAATCCTTGATTGTAGCACTTTGTCACTAGAATACCTGAATCAAGGTTTTCAGGGGCCATCCCCCGCAGCGCACACTCTGCTTCCAGTTCTTGGACGCTCCGTGGTTTCCTTCAATTTCAAATTCCCTGAGGGTGAACCAATTTCCATGTGCATCCCGTATACACTTCTCCGAGGTGCCTGTGAGACCAAGACAAGCTGAGCTCCCTTTGTGGCCAGGGTGTGCCCCCAACTGTGAATACCCCAGAACCTGACCTCCCGCCACGTGAATCTGGGCTACTCGTTTTGGGTTCATAATCTACAGCAGGATAGCTGAGTCCCCTCTCTGGGGCTCTACAGCCGTCCGAAAGGGGAGGGCAGGAGCAGACTTCCTGCCCTGTGTGCATACTCTGACCCTCATGCAATGAGAAGGACAGTGATTACTACCAACATTTACTTTAAAAAAATATTTCACTATATTCAAAAGAGAAAAAAATGGAGGACTCTGAAGAATAGGCAAGATTCTTTCCCTTCCCTTCTCTGAGACCCGGGATAGAGCCAGGCTGAGTTTCTGAGGCAGCAGATGAGGTCACACATGGGGCAGTGTGGCAACTGTCACCACAGCCATGTCTGCCTTGTCCTGTACAAAAGTTGATCAGCCAGTGAATGGCAATCAATTATTGCAATAATATTTTGGGCTCATAGCTATTTTTTGTTAAAAGCAATTGTAGAAATGTTATCAAGTGGGAAAAGTTAAATTATATATATGCTATACAATCATGGGGAAAGCATTTATACTTCTCGGTACCTAAAGCACCATATTTTGGGAGGAGGGAATCAATTATGGTAGATGAACATTTGTACTGTACTTTAACAGTTGTAATTTGCAAACTTTTCTGTTATCTTGTTTTTTTCTCATAATAATATGGTGAGGAAAGTTTTATTATTATTTCCATTTTGTAGAGGACAGTTCAGGATGAGAGAGACTTAGTAACTTGGCCCATACAAAATAGACACTCTTGGTACAGCTGAAACTCGAATCCCGGTCTTCTTAAATCTTGTGCTTCTCCCAGTTAGCACAAGGCCATACAGATGTTATGGGGAATGTGGCTGTGAAGGTTGCTGTCGGATTTCTCAAATGTGTACATCTTCCATTCTGTTATTGAAGCACTTGCCCCTGTATTGGGTGCTGGATGGGCACCTGTGGACCTTTTCCTTGGGGGAAAGTGGAGATGGCCTGGTGGGCTAATGGTTATTAATTTTAAAAGAGTGGGAATGCCATCTTTCCTCCAGCCTATCTGGGATGCTGTGTGGAAAAGAGCTAACAGAACAGAACGGAGGCTGCTTTCTTTAGAAAGTCTGCTTGCAAGGTTGGCACTTGGCTGGTATCTGGGAACTTGGATTTGGGGAGGGGTCTCACCACTCCCAGAACTGAAGAGTAGCTCACTGTGCCATAACTGTTTATACAAACAGTATGGTTTATGTGAACACCTGCCTTCCGTCTGGGAGTTTGGAATTCTGGCATGTGCTAGGCAGGGGGTACTTATGTAACTAACCCCTGATAAAAACCCTGGACTCTCAGGCTCAGGGCAGCTTCCCTGGCAGACAACATTTTACATGTGTTGTTACAATTCATTGCTGGTGAATTAAGTGTGTCCTGGTGACCCGACTGGGAGAAGACTCTTGGAAACTGACACCTGTACCATGGGCCTTTTCCCTTTGCTGATTTTGCTTTGTATCCTTTCAATTTATTAAATCACAGCCATGAGTTCAACTATATGCTGAGTCCTTTCAGTCCTCCTGGTGAGGCACCAAACCTAGAGACCCCCAATACAGGTGTCTACCCCCTGTATAATATAGTATTCACATGGGAGTTTTCCAGTTGAAAAGTTTAGAAGACCACGAAGCCCACCTTTTTCCATTTTCTTCTTGTATAAAATCCCCTTCGCCTCACCACAAGTCACAGGAAGTTCAGGAAGCCGAAAATCCATATTTGTTTCTTTGGGAATTCTTGGACCTGCAAGGAAGCATTGGTTTCTTCATTCCACCTTGCTCTAAAACTGTGTACCGTCTCTCCTCACCCATCTTGAGATCCTTCTTTATAACTTAAAATGTAATGGAAGGATTTCCCCCATGAATTAGGTACATTTCTAGGCAGATTAGGTACATAAAGATAACGTCACCCTCCACCACCATCCTCTAAAATCCTACATACAAACCTCTTGTGGAAGGATCTGATTCCCAAGCTTGCTGGCCCCAACTACCTATTGCATGATAATTTTCCTCCTGCTGATTTGAAGGAAGATTTATAGTCATATTATTGCTTTGAAGTTATGCAGATGGAGAAAAAACCCTCAACTTTTAATTTTTTCTCCCCATTTGAGGGCTCACCTGGGGAAAAAAGGAAGATTGCAATGGGACCCCCAGCAGGGGCAGTGTCTGTCTTCCCACCTTGCTCTCTGTTTCACTTCTCTCTCATGTGAGCTTTCTCTGTGGCTAGAAGGTAGTTTGCTCTAGAAGAAACTGCACATTGCTCAGGGAGAGGGTTTCTGTACATCCTTGGGTGAGGGTGCTGGCATCTAATTCCTCTGAAGCAGGTGTTGAAAGTCTTAGAAAGAATGTCAGTAGCAGGAGCACCTTCTCTTGCCCTTCTGACCAACATTGAGGAGGATCCTTTAGACAGGTCTGGGGGCTTCTCTCTGGATGGGGAGGGTAGGCTGTCAAGAGCCCTTCCAGCGTCAGTTCTATTAGAGCTGGGGTGGGTGTAGGGGGCCATTCAGTCTAATTCACCTGCCAGCCACCAATTTACAGAGGAGGAAATTGAAGCAAGAAAGAACAGTGGACAAGCCAAAGTTACACAGTCAAAGGAATTTTAGGAATTAGGACATAGGTCTTGTGTTACCACCCAGAGTCCCCCTTGGTGGGGAGCCTATGGCTCTCTACATGGGCAAGACAAGGGCGAGAGAAATATGCGAGTCATACCTTTTATATATTTTTCTTTGTATTTCCCTCCTCAAAAGTTATCAGTGCAGTGAGAGGAGCCCTGCTGAGGCCCAAGGAGGCCTGGGGCTCTCTCGCAGATCTTCTGACTAATCAATGGAGTGCGTGTTATCACCATCCTGTCATGTGGTCGAAATTGACCAAGACCAAGGACTTATCCTAACGTTTGCTATCAGCTCTGTAAGCCAATTAAGAAAATGTATTGATCACTAAAAATATGGATTATAAAATAAAAATTTAGATGTTTAATTATTAAAATTGCATTAATCACTTATTTTTACCTCTTTTTCTGCCTCTTTTCAAAGGCCCAGTGTTGATTGTTTTTCTCCCCAAGGAAGTAGAAAAGTAACATAAATGTCTCTTTTTATAACATTGCATTGCAAATAGTAGTGTTTTGCAAAAATACCATTCAAATGTCACTTTTTAGGAGTTTACCTAGTACTTCAAGAAAAATATCAAATGCTTAGATCAGGAGTTAGGAACTTTCTCTGTAAAGGGCCAGATAGTAAATATTTAAGGTATTGTGGACCACAATCTCCTTTGTGACTACTCAACTCTACTGTTTTATTGTAAAAGCATCCATAGACAATTCATAAATGGAAAGATGTGACTGTGGCTACGTTCTGATAAAAAATTATTTACAAAACAATTCATGGGGCTTCCCTGGTGGCGCAGTGGCTGAGAGTCCGCCTGCTGATGCAGGGGACACGGGTTCGTGCCCCGGTCCGGGAAGATCCCACGTGCCGCGGAGTGGCTGGGCCCGTGAGCCATGGCCGCTGAGCCTGCGCGTCTGGAGCCTGTGCTCCGCAACGGGAGAGGCCACAACAGTGAGAGGCCCGTGTACCGCAAAAAAAAAACAATTCATGGGTTGAATTTGCCCTGTGGGCCATAGTTTGCGGAACTCTGGTCTAGACTTGGTTAGTTACAAAGATGATGTTTAACTGAGATATATCCTATATTTCTTTTACTCCAAGTCGTTCCAAATAAAACTGAAACCGTGTTTTATGTGTTTCCCAAGCAACAGAGCAGCAAGGTGAGAAGAGTAATGAAGTTGTACATCTTTTGAGTCCTTGTTGTGTGCCAGGAACTATCCTTAGACCTTGCCTCTATTAATTTACTTTATCCTTAGAGCAAATTTAGTCAAATTAGGGACTTAGTCAAATAGGGACTAATACTATCCTTATCTTACAGATGAGGAAATTGATATGCACAGATATAAATGCAAATTAACTAAAAGCATCGAAGATTTACTTTGATAAAGAGGCAGAGACAAAAGGCAGTAATGTTAGGTCTCAAGGGGGCCTTCATGCTCAACTCTATAGGTCAGATAGCTGCTGTAAACCTAAACTTGAAAGATTTTTGTATCAAAAATGGTCTCAAAAATGAGCAAGGACTTAAAAACTAGCCCAATGGCTCAATGAAGGGGAGCTTATAAAATTGATGACCAAGTTCCAAAAGTTGTAGGGTTAGAGATGGCACAAAAGGTTGACTTAAGAGATGTTTCAGAAAAATGTAGTTTCTGATTTAATTGTTGATTTTGTCCAAAAAGGTTAATCATGTCCATGTTCATGTTCAGGTCTGCCATCATTCAAATGTGTCTGAATGTTGGAAGTCAGGGATGCTTTCTTGCTAAAGGTCTGTGCCCATCATTCTGTTCCCATGGCTGGAATCCTGGGGTGTTAATTTGGGTAATGCAGGTCCCAGGAGAAAATCCCCTCCAGAAAGTCAATCATGACTAATCTTTCCTTTAAGCAGATTATGACCAGATGCGGCTGGAAAGGAATATTTCCTTCAACCAAACACAAAAAGCCTTCAGGTTGATGATGTTATCTCATATTCTGGGACTTTGCCATAACAATTACTCAAGTTTAAAAAAAAAATCTCACCAAAATAAAAATGGCCCCATGAGACATTTATTAATTATTTTCATCCCAAGAGAAATCACACCCCAAGATCAACATGTTCTACCTTACAAAATGTTATCCTTAGGAAGTTATTCAAAGTATTAGGGAGGTACACTGAGGAGAGATTACTAAACCTGTATAAGAGAATCATAAGCATGGCTATGATCTTGAAGACCTAAGAGGAACAAGTGAATGGGGAACAATGTAGACCTGAAAGTAGATGAAGCTTTCTTTAAAAATTGCTCTAGATGGACTGGTTTCAAAGAACATTACAGTACCAAATATGGTAGTTAGTAGTTGCCAGGTATAAAAGGTTATCCACACAGGTGTGGGTCTTGGTGAAACAGTCCTCTCCGGTCCTCTTCAGCACTGATGCTGAAGTGGGAAAAGGCCAGTTCTGATTCTCTCTCTCTCTTTTCCTGCAAGAATCAAGCCCCACTGTCCCACAAGAAGACACTTGTGTTCTCTTGGCTTTCTCCTTGCTCTCCTTTCCTATGCAGTGATGAAATTGAAATCCCAGCTCTAATTATAACTTGAGTCTGTCCAACAGTAGCCCTAATTGGCAAATGTGCATTCTCTTGCTCTCAGTTTCTCTCTGCTTAAATATTTCTGGGACTAGTTGGTGAGTTAGACTACTATTTCATCAAAGCCTGTTGAGGACAAACAACTTCATGGCAAACAAACAGAAACTCGTTGTACACCAGCTCAGTTCTCAGAAATTTGGTCTGGAGACCAGATCATATGAACAAAGTGCTGCTAAACTTTACAGGGGTTATTTGTGTGTTAGCGAGCTCCAGCACTTTATTATCTTAGATCCAGAAAGTAAAATGCCTGGACAAAGTAGGATTTAATTATTCTTGGGTCTACCATCTTAATAAACAACTACTAATGCTATACTAAAACTCTACATTAACTCTTACAAATAATAATGTGGTCAGAAAAATTAAAAGTCATTTAAAAATAATTTTCTTAATAGTTGGAACTAATCTTTATGGGCAAAATAGTATATCAGGATGTTTAGGTGATCTTTTGGTTGCCTCAGAGTATCAGAGAGTCTGCAGTGTGTAAGAACAATAGAATATAGGAGCCCAGTATGCCTAGATCCTAAAGCAAGTGTTAGTCTAGCCCTGTTGCACAGACCATGGTAAGCGATAGTGAGGCTGGTTCTGCCGGAACAGGCCTTCCCCACCTCCAGGTCTTGTGAAAGAGGCTACATTTCTTTCAAGAGAATTGTCAGACACCTCCCCTCAAGCCAAGACAAAATATGTTAAAGGATCCACACAGGAGATGGACCTCAGTCCTTGGGACATCAGGGAAGGAGAGATTATCAGACTCATCCTTGCCAATATAAAGGTGAACATCATGGCTAGTGTGTTCTGTGGTGGGAGAAGGGCTGAGCCAGGAGTCAGCAAGGGAATCAATGAAGAAGCATGATTCCCTTGGCCTGGTGGGGTGGCCCTGTGGATGGGAGTTGAACTGGGTATTTTTGAGAGATACTCTTCCCAAAAGAACCACATAGGGCAACGAGGTAGCTGCTGCAAGGGTGCTAACCTTCCAGAAGGACCATCCAATGTCTTCATTCCCAAGCAAGTTGGCCACCACTCACTACTGACAGGTGGTAAAATATATTGCTTCTGCTCTTCTAGTGGGAAATTTCTAGCCAAATTTGTTTTTCCAGACAAAAAGTTTTAGATTGTAATTTGTCTATAATTTGACAAATTTGTAGGTATGATTCAAGGACTAGCTGAGCCGTGAACAGGATCACAATGGGGCAGCCTAGCAGGAGATGGGGTCTGTCTTATTTGTTTGCCTCACTTCTCCTTCACAGCAGCTTTCTCCTGGCTGGAAGGGAAGCTCAGGGGAGTTCTACTGTCTTCTGAAAATTGCTCAGGGCGGAAGGAGGGTCTACCTCTACATGGGGGGGGGGGGGGGGGGGGGCGGGGAACTCAGAGTCTGACTCCACAGAAAGGAGTCTTAAGATGAACTTGAGAATGATTAGCTGTTGTTCCTGCCCTTCCAGCCAGTGATGTTAGGAATCCATTAAAGATTTGGGGAATCCATTAAAGACACTCCTTGGGCTCCCTGTTCTTGATGCCGATGAGAGAGCTGTCCATGGTCCTTACCAAGTCCAGTGGTAGATCTACAGAATGTGAAGCTGTATATGAAGCTGGGATGGGCCTTGATGGGCAGTCAGTCTCTTTATTATCATTTCACTTTACAGAGGAGTAAACTGAGGCAGAAGAGGCAAAGTGACAGACCCAAGTTTACAGGACTACCTCAGGGTGGTGGGACATGAGGCAGGACATCTTTATCACTTGTGAGTTACACAGTGTTTTATGGCTACTACTATTTCCAGCCTCAAAAGTTACCAGTTCAGCAGAGGCAGCACTTCAGTGGCCCTTGGGTCCTGGGTTTTGGCTGTGGATTCATCGTCATGTTGCTTGTTTGAGATATCATATTTCTCTCCCTGTCATGTTTTAGAAGCTGACTAAATCTGATATATTTCTCAACAGTTAGTAGCTACAGAAAGTAATTAGAGAAACAGGTCTATTAACAAAAGCATAGAATAAAGCATGAGAATTTAGATGTTCAGTTAGTAAATTTTATTTGTGTATTTATTTCTTCTTGGTTTGCCTCTTTTCTTTGGGGCTCTGTTACTCAGAATTTCGATTCTATGTCTACCCCTCTTTCTGAGAAAAATATAAAACAGATACTGCTGAAAAGTTGCATGGTATATAATAGTGCTTTTCAAAAATTCCATTTTACTTTAAATTTTCAAAAGTTTACTGCATAAAGAAAAAATATTAACCCATAGTCTTGCACCTACTAAGCCTTTGATGGTTAACCTGGGTTCATCCTAGATTTCATTTTATTTGCCCTCACATTAAGAAAAATTCATTTATATCCACATTAATAAAAAAGAATTTAAGACAGAGTTTTATTCCTTATATCTCAAGGAACACTGTGAGAATAATAATAATGAGAGCTAACAGTTGTTAAGTGCTTATTATATGCTAGACATGAACACAAGACCCTTACTTCTACTACTTTATTTTAGGGATTTTTACTATCCCCACTACCAATGAAGAAACTGAAGCATCCTGAAATTAAAAAATTAAGTGAAGCAATGCAGATTTCCTTTGGTTGAGAGGCAGAATCAATGGCAGTAACACAAGACTTTGGATTGTCTAGGGAGATGTGATGGTGAGCTACACAGATAAAACATAGGCCATCATCTTAGCCCTAAATGAAGGCTTTTAGGCTGAAAATATCATGAAAGTGACCAAAGACCTTGTTCACATGGGTTTGGACAAAAAAATAGGATTTAAAGAACTAACCAAGAAAATATTGCCCAAGGGGAATTTGTAGAAATAGAACTTCAAGTCCTAGAAAACCTTAGGGTTATAGATATCAAAAAAGGGTTGATTGAAACGCTATGTCAGGGGAATATGCTCTCAGATTTAGGAGGTGTGGGTGGAAAGATGGTGGGGTTTGTGCAGGTGAATCTCCTGAGTGCCATGTTCAAACGTGTTGATCTCCAAAGCAGGGCCATAAAGTGCACACATTTCCTTTCCCCTTTCCTTTCCTTTCCTCTCTTCTCCTCTTCTTTGTTTTTCTTTCTTTCCTTCCCTCCTCCCCCTTTTCTCCCTTTCTTCCTTTCTTCTTTCTTTCCTTTCTTTCTTTCTTTGTTTCTTCGTTTCTGTTTTTTTTTGCAGTACGTGGGCCTCTCACTGTTGTGGCCTCTCCCATTGTGGAGCACAGGCTCTGGACGGGCAGGCTCAGCGGCCATGGCTCACGGGCCTAGCCACTCCGCGGCATGTGGGATCTTCCCGGACTGGGGCATGAACCCGTGTCCCTTGCATCGGCAGGTAGACTCTCAACCACTGCACCACCAGGGAAGCCCTCTTTCTTTCTTTCTTCTTTCTTTCTTTCTTTCTCTCTCTCTCTTTCTTTCTTTCTTCCTTCCATCCTTCCTTCCTTCCTTCCTTTCTCTCTCTCTCTCTCTCTCTCTCTCTCTCTTTCTTTCTTTCTTTTCTTTCAATGCCTGGACTACAATTTGGGCCTGTTCATAGATATCAACCATAGACATCTTAGACAAAAAAAAAAATATTTTCTTTCCCTCTCTATCTTTCTCTGGCACTGTTTGATTCACCTTTCATCAAACCTGTTGAGGCCAAATAAATTAAAGATACAAAAGTAGTCTAGTTCAGCTTACCAGAGTTCTCCTTATTGGTAGATTTGGGGTTTAAGACCTGCTAATTATTGTTCTTTGTGAATTTTCTTACTCAAATACCCCACAGGAAGTAGAGTGGCTGTTCTTGGATTTCCTATCCAAATACTATTTATTGACACCAGAGGCTTGCTATAGAAGTTAAGTGTTCCCCTCCCCTCAAGGCAAGTGAGAAGGCTTCAGTCTCAAGGTGATTAATCTGTGTCTCTAAGAGCTTGAAGGAGGCAGAGATGTTTAAAGACTCAAACCTGGAAAGTCTAGAGAGGGTGACTGCATTGGGAGCCAACCCCACATCCAGTGGTCATAGGACCATGAAGAGGCATGGTTCTCACGAGCCTCCCTGGGGAAGGGAGGGGCTCAGTTAGTTCCTGAGAGATACTGTATCCAGGAGGATCATTTGGATGAAAGAGGTGACCCCAGGAGGGGTGTGGACCTCCTAGAAGCTGGGAGACTAAGAAGGAAGTGGTAAGCCATCAGTTAGATTTCCTGCATCAGGGGACCTTCAGTTGAGAAAGTCTCTATAAAGACAGTGAATATCTGAAGAACCCACAAATATGGCTCATGAATCTGCCATTTCTGGGAGACATGAAGGATCTATTGTAAGAGGGCCATTCCTGCTCCTTACCACTTCCTTCTTTCCTTCCTCCTCAATTTGAATTAGCTAAAAGCACATACTGAATGGTGTTAGAGAGGAAGTGTGGATGAAAGAAGAGGCTGGCCTTATCCAACTTGCTCACTACAAAGTTGACAGTTTTAATATTATATCAGCTCAGTCTTTTAAATACTGAATGAGAATATCACTGCTGCTGAAAAGGATTAGCACAACTCTGGGGCTTATCTAAGACTTCATCCTGGGGCACAGTAAGAACTATTTGAGAGAACAGGTTTAACAAAGAAGTAAGTAGGAGAAAGAACCAACTGTGCTTAGACTACCCATGCCAACTGTTATAATAAATCAAGTATGGCAGTGAGATTTCACAAACTCTCAGAGAACAAAAGTCTTAGACTTGGGTAAATATAACCTGGGAAATAAACAAGGTGATAAAGATAAGTATGGAGAAAAAAATGATAGAGATGCTAAAAATATAAGTATATATTTATTTACACTTATTTATATTCTAAAATATATATAATATATAATAATAATATATTTAAATGTATATATGGTGTTAGAAATAATCAGCAGAAATGGAAACAAAATACATCTGACTATGTTTCAACTCCAGAAGGAAAATCTTGCCACCTCTACAGTGCTGTATAAACCCAACAGCAGTATTTTTTATGATGTGATGTAAAAGAATGAACAAAAGAAATAAAGTATACAAGAAAAACATTAGTAGAATGGGAGAGGGGTGGGAAAAAGAAGAGAGGTGAAGAAGAGGAAGAAAACAAAGAATGAGATAGAAATGAAAATTACAGAACTTAATTCAGAGAATGGAGGGTCACGTATCTGTACTGCACCAACACGGTGTGGTATGTGCTATTAGTTTGGTTTAAATAACTGTGTTTAGATCTGATGTGATACCAGGAGTCTGGCTTCTGCTTAATTGATTAAGTTCTCTCTTGTCTGTTTCTCCTCATTTGGTTGAGAGCTGCATTCGTCAGTTACAACAAACTTTTCTAACGCTTTCTCTCTTATTTCTCACTCAGGGATGGCTTGTCTCTGGCCACAAAGCTCTGTGTTGCATCCAAGTTCCAGCTCCTTTTATTGCCAAAGGGCCTCAAGCGACAACAAGGGTGGGTTTGAACCAATGGAGAGTCTGAATTTCCCTCTTAATTTGAGGAAATCAGTGACTTTGGATGAAAACATGGAGAACAAGTAAGCAGATTGCTATTTGTCACCCATAATCATCCTTTCTTTTCTTCCATAGGGATAGAGTTACAACCAGACCCTTGGCTGCCTGTCTAGAGATTATATTTCTTAGCCTCACCTCCCAGCTAGCTCTGGCCATGTGACTAAGGGTTCTCCAATAGGATGTGAGCAGAAGACTCTGGGCCTTTCCTTTAAAAGAAATAAATGGGTGATATCCCTGTCAAGAAAAGGCAGTAAACAAATCATTTGAATTCTTGAAGAAGAAAACCAAAATAACAGAAGAAATAATTGAAGATAAGTTCAAGAAAAAGTTTTCTGAAATTATTTAAAAAAATGAATATACATATCATAAGTACATGTATTTTCACTCTGTAGCAGAGAAAATTGGCTCCAGTCAACCCTGAAATATATTCCAGCAAACTTACCATACTTTAAAGAATTGAATGGGCAGCCTGGGCAAAACAAGTCATTTTCAAGGGAGAGGGATCTCGTTGGCTATAGAATTTTCCATAGCAACATTTAATGCCACAGAAAAAAAGTACAAGCAGTACAAAATACTTCTAGAAGTAAAGAGTGAGCAAATTATTTTCAGGTATAAATAATAAAAACAAATACTTTTGAATAGGGAAATTCTGGAAATACTGTTCCTATGAGTACTTGTTCCTTTGAGAAGACTACTAGAGGATCCACTTCAGCAAACCAAGACAGGACTGGAAAAATTTTGGCAAAAGGATTAAAATAAAAATGGAGATGAGGTGACAGGCCAGGGCATAAATGTATATGCCCTTACAATATAGAAATGATATAATATAAAGAAAAATTGGGAGGAAGGGACAAATATGGGTGGTAGGGCAAGGTCATAGTTTGTTCTACATCTAGGAGTCAAAGGGTATTATTTGGATAAATAAAGGATAAATATAAAGCACATTTAATAGCTAAGAGGTAAAAATAAAGGGAACATCATGGCCTAAATTGGGTGAGAGGGGAAAGAGAAATAGGATATACACTAATTTTATAAATCTCCTGGGTGGGAAATTAATGGGTTCTGTCTAAAGAGAGGACCAAAGGTATCACATAAAGGTAATTCTAAGAGTAATCACTATAACAAAAGTACAAACCTTTGTAAGTATCAGAAGTATATACTCCTAACCAATGGAAATATGGGAAATGAGCAGGGGCTCAACCATTCATTTCTTTTAAGGGAAAGACCCAAAAGAGGCTCACATTTTTTCTACTCAGATGCCATAGTCGCTTGGCAGGGCAGGGAAAGCTGGAAGGGTTAGTCTCAGCTAAGCAGTCATATACCCAGCTGTAACCACTACCACAAAAATGCAAACCTTCCTAAGTATCACAAGTACATACATGCACATAAATGCATTGAAGACAGAATGCAGAGTGTTGGCATTTTTAATATCTAAGACACTAGAACAAGATGAATCAACAATATAAATTAATATGACTTTCAAACACTTTGGTCCTAAAAATAAAAATAGATGGACTTAATTCACTTATTTAAATAAAATATTTTGAGATTAAATTACAAAGTAAACTCCAACTTTTAACCATATACAAAACACTCAAGTAAAAACATATTTTTAAATGTTGAAAATAAATGTATAGACAAAGGTATATTCAGCATACATCAACAAAAAGAAACCAGGAAGTCATTATCTGAATTTCAAAGAAAGTGTGATTCAGGCCAAAAAGTTTTAAGCAAGTAGAAAATACAGGAAATGCCATGAGAGGTAAAAACACTCTACTAGAAGATAATTTTATTGTTATGTCCCTCAGTCCACAGGTGATCAAGTGGACAAAATGAGGAGGCTATGAAAGACTCAAATAATATGTTTTAACAGGGTTGATATTATTGATACATATTCAACTCCATACCCAGAAAATAGAAGTAGAGAATGTACATTTTCTCCCACCCTCTCTTAAGTAACTCTTGGGTCAAAAAGTAAATATAAATCCAAATTGCAGGCTATCTGGCAAAAAAAATAATAAAATGTTGCCTATGAGAACAGATGTATTATTTAATTTAAAATAATTCTAGAAAGAATGAAAATATGTATACATACAGCCAATTTTCATTATTCACAGATTCCATATTTGTGAAGTCACCCACTCCCTAAAGTTTATTTGCACCCCCCAAATCAGTACTCAGGGCACTTTCATGGTCATTCATGGTGATGCACAGAGCAGTGAAAAATCTGAGTTGCTGGCCGCACCTGTTCCCAGATGAGGTTGAACAAGGCAATGCTCTGTCTCCTTGTTTCAGCTTATTCTGTAAACAAGTTTCCTTTTGCCGACTATTTAGTTCCATGTTTTTCTCACTTTTGTGTTTTCTGTTGGTGATTTTGCTGCTTAAAATGGCCCCCAAGCCTAGTGCTGAAGTGCTGTCTAGCGTTCCTAAGACAGTGATGTGACTTATGGAGAAAATCTGTGTGTTAGATAAGCTCCGATCAGGCATGAGTTATAGTGCTGTCAGCTGTGAGTTCAACATTGATGTATCAACGTATATATTAAATTAGGTGTCTTTAAACAGAAACACTCAGAAAACAAAGATATATATTTATTGGTTTACAAAAATGTGACCAGAGGCTCACAGGTACCAAACCCTGTATTTCTCCTGGGAGCAAAGTTACAAGATTAGCTATTTTTGTGTTTGGGGTGATTCATGAAACCTATATACCATGAAAAATGAGAACTGGCTGTATATGTATACACACGCACACACACAATTATTTTCAGAGTTCACCCACTTTTTTCATTGTTTTTTATTTCATTTATTATACTTTTCAATCTCAGAATTTCTATTTGGTTCTTTTAAAAAATATATATATATATAGTTTTGAAACTTGATGAATGAATGTGGGGTGGGGGTTAGGAAAAAGGGAGGAATCAAACACATCTTCTATACTTTTGGCTCAAGCAACTGAGTAGAATTAGTGCCATTTACTGAGATAAGGGTGAGCGGTGGTGGATGACAGGTTTGGAAGTGAAATAAAGGAATCTGTTTCATGTGTCAAATTTGAGACTCCAAGTGGAAGTTTGGAGTAAGAAGTTGAACTTACGACTTGGCAGTTCAATAGAGGCATCAAAGGAGGTGAAGTATAATTGGCAGTCATTAACATATTGATGGAATTTATAGCTACCAGACTGGATGTAGTCCCTAGGGATGAAATCTCTGGTACATGCCAACATGTAGACATCAGGAAGCCATGAAGGGACCATCACCACCAATAGAACCACCACTATTGAAACTATCATCAACATCACCAACAAATGACCAGGAAGGAGCTATTAGCAAGTAGGAGACCGTGATGCTCCAGAAGACAAGAGAGTGCATCAGGTTCTCGCAGCTTACTCACCTGAGCACAGTGATGCCAAGGCTTGCCAGGTGCTATGAAGCAAGAGGCAACCAATGACCTCCCAGTCAGAAAGACCATGATCAGGCCACCCTCCGATAAGCTGCACCAGCTCCATCCTCTTGACTGGAGAAACCAGCCTGTTAGGGACAGATCCCTTCAGGTCTAATGCCCAGGCTCCTGGGAAGATGTTTGCCTCCCCATGCACACTGCTCTCCACACCTGCTGCCTACGCCTGCCTCACCCATGAGGTCAGCAGAGCAGCTCATCTATGGTCAATCTGTATAGCCCTCTTGGGGGCCTGTGGTGTAGAGGCAGCCTCACCCTCACAATGAGATCTACAGAGAATCCTCATTAGCCAACAACATCGATTACTACATCACTCTCCATGACAAAGAACTAACTATGAAAAATTACCAACCTTCTAATTGTAGTTTGCTGACATTTCTTTATCCCTCCCTTTATTTTAATGTCTTTTTTTGGCTTTAAGTATACCATCATATATTTGGATTAAACTTTTCACAAACTGATAGAATTAATTTATTCATTTAAATTACTATCCAACACATTCTTGGATGCATCAATATGCAGAAGCTTAACTATTTCTAATGCAGACTCTCTTCTTACCTGCCACACAGCAGGAGGAAGGAATTCCTTTGATGCTAGGAACTTTAACCTGGGGCAAGGACAGACGGAGGAGGAAATCATTCCAAGTGTTTGGGGTATGACACTGGTCTAACCTTGTGGAATTAGTACTTTTCTGTTTCATCATGGTGGAAAAATACGGAGGTTCCCACGTTGCATTTAGCATGTAAGGTTGCTAGATTGTGGGGCTGTGTCAACAAGTATATGTGTCACTGGGAACCATTGTTGTGAACGGACCCTGGGCTATGTTGCAAATGAGACCCTTGACTCTTTGCCTCTGGGTGAAACTCAGAGTTTTTAAGAAAGGGAAGCTCTGGGTTCACTTCTTTCTTCTCTGGAAGCAGGGGTCACTGTGAATTATCCTGCCACATTATAGGACGAGCTATGGGAACTTCATATGCAACCAACAGAATTCTATCCAGTCTTTAGCATGAGCACAAGCTTGGCCAAAGTCTTTCAAAATCTTGGCCTCTCTGCTAAAGCCTTCTATACCTCTGTTTTGTGGGATATCCCAAATCTGGTTTTTCCTTCCATTATGCCAAATTCCCATGCTACACCAGTAATGATGCTCAGTTTTGAAGTCTGTTTGTATATCTTCACCCAAAATGGGTACCATGAAGGAAGACTGGGTTTTAGCAGTCATTAGTATAGATGTGGTCTGATTTTCCAGGAAAGAGAAGTTGTAGAAGTTTGAGAGTGTGAAATGGGTAAATCGAGCCGTGAAAATTGAAGTGGGATGAGGCTCATAGGATGAGGTCTGGTAAATAGAACGCGTATAAAGAAGAGTCCTCAGTATTTGGAGATCAAAGAAAAACTGTATAAAGTATTTTAATGATACTGGTAATAATATTTAGCCTATAAGTAGTAATGCTTATTAAATATAAGATATAGTTTTAAAAAAATATTGTAAACATCCTCACGTAAATGCTGAACAAATCATTCACATTATGTATTTAGGTGAAGGCGAGAAAGGAAATTTGAAAAGAAATGATAAAGATCACAAGCTGATTCAGATTTAGCAACAAGATGGGAGGCTGAAGTAGAAAAATTTATATACATCTTATTTTACTATTTTTAAAATACTTTCCAGGTCCTTTTTTCTCTATTTCTGCCAACACAATCCAACTCTATGGGCCTGCATTTCTTACAAGGCTAACTAATCAAATTCCAGAGACCAGATTTTTAAAATGTAAGTCTTCATAACTAACAGAATTACAGAAAAAGGAGGGAAAGTCCCCTCAAACCATAGCTGTAGAAGGAGAGAGAGCAGTCTGTACCACAAAACTAACATAAAGAATTGATTTGACAGTATTAAATTGAGAAATTTCATAAGAAGATAAGTCTTGTAAAATATGGAGATGTGTCTGTTTGTAACCATTACCAATTTGTTCTGTTCTCTGTAATATAAACTTGTCCTTGAAAGAGTTATTTGAAGGGGTCTTGTGATAACCCCCTCATTTGAAATTATTGCCACTTTTTATGGAGACAATTTCTTCAGAAACTTAATTCTGATTGATTGTCTTGATCATTTGGGGGCCTGGCCATAATATTTTAAGTGACATTTGGATCCTTAAACTATACAGATGCTTGTAAGATTTTATATTGAATCAGAAGAAGATCCTTGGCATTCTGATTTCCTCATATGCAAATGGATAATAAAATGACCATAGATTTCCTATTTAAATAAAGATTTTGAGAGTCTTGTCTCACTTAAATTTATTCCAGCTATTTTGTAATGGGAAAAAAAGATATTCATAGAGAGAAACAAATGGCTTCGGCATATAAATTTTTTTAAGGTGTATGAAAATTCTTAGTAGAAGAACATTAAATAAGATGTGAATAAATGGGTATAAGTCTTTGTTCTCCCCAAATTAATCTGCAACTTCAACATATTTCTAATTAGAACTTCCAATGAACTTGGGAAGGGAGTGGAGGAATCTTCTTGAGTTAATTTTAAAATTCACCCCCAGTGAATCATCAGTCTGGTGCTATTTCTGAGCTCTCCTTTATCTTTTGCAATTTTCTTGTAAAAGAAAAACTAATATATAGACAAGCGAAGACACTGTGTGATCAAAGTGGTGATTGAAATCATAATGTAATAGTGTAAGGAATATTTTTAAAATTCTCACCTCACATACACACAAATAGGCAAAACTCACAGGGTTTTGGATGTAAATATTAAAAATGATAAGGTACTTCAAATATTCTAGAATCAAATATAGAGCAATATTTTTAAAATCTTCAGCTAGAAGCTGTTGTAAATATGATAGGAAACCAAAGAACTAGAGAGAAAAAAGCTAACAAATTTGATTCCTAAAAATGTATAACTTCTCTAGGACAAAATATTCTATTAACAAACCTAAAAGAAAAACAACAAATGGGACAAAATGTTAGGAACATATAGAATCAAGATTTAATGTACATGTATATCATATAAAGATTTCTATATTCATTCAGCTTGGTAAGAAAAATACAAATACCACAACATGACTGAGCATTCTATGAAGAAGAAAAACCAATGACCAATAACAAATGGAAAATACTCAACCACACTAAAAATGAAAATAGTACATGTTAAAGCATCCCTTAAAAAGAATTTGTAGTTCAATTTAAAATGTTAAATATTTTAATTTTCTAGGTATGATATAATAATTTTAAGAGGGAAAGTATGCATAGAATTATCCTATTTAGATAAATAAAACTACATTGCAAAATGTGTTAACACATGCATAGAAAAATTCTGGAAAGATATATAACAGTGTTTATAAGAAACATTTTAAAATCAGCATAAAAAGCAATGTGAAGATATGAGCATTTTGAAAAAATAGTTACTTTAAAAGGCACTAATTTTTTGTCTTATTAAAGGTATAGAAAATAATAATAAACTTTAGCATTAAAAAATAGTTGGTTTGTAACATGAAAATCGAGTAAATTCTTATGCACTCTTACTTCTTTTCTCACTGTGTTTTCCCGAAGTAGAATTGCTTCCAATATCCGTGGTATCTAGAAAGTAACAGGTGGTGGTCAGAAACTAAAAATTTTGAAACTGTAAAAAACTGTAAAACTTCGAAAACTCTCTTCACTACTTATGTGCATCAGTTTCCTCATTTATGAAACAGGGATAACAACAGTTATGCTGTTCAGGTTTTTAATTTCTTATGAAGATTAAATGAGATCTTAGTTGCAAAAGCTAATGAGAAATCACTGTATAAATCAGTAACATGCCAGAGAGCATCCTTCAAAACTATATGGTGAGTTCATGAATAGTTGTCTGAGGTCTTTTATTCCTGTCAGGGCAAAGGACCGTTTATTTGTCTTTTGAGGCCTTTCCAAGGTTTTGACAAAGTGACACTATTATCTACCAGCAGAAGAGCACTTTTATTTCTTTGCTCTACGGTACTGCCATTTTTACCAGTGTATTCTAACGACATCATCCATGTATAATCAACAGGACCCATTCTGTTAAACAGAATTCTTTTCTCCCTGCAGTTCCCCAATGGGTCAGTTCAAGCAAATGAAGAGGGGAATGGGATTCTGACATAGACTGGATGTACTCCTTGTCAAAGTACGTTTAGAGTCAAGTGCATCAGGAACTGGAGCTCTGATTTCAGACTCCTGAAATGCTGCAGCACAGGCCCTGTGACCTTCACCTTCCATAACTGGCCCGCCCCCTGTTGTGAGCTGGTAGGAGTTCTCCTTGAACACTGATCACTTACCACAGCTCCCCCAGGGTCTGTGGTGTCTGCTGAACCACCTCTACCCTGACCTTGGGTGTCCTTACCCATCATGTCAATGCTTGGCTACTTTCAGTCCTTGCTTCTTGGCTTCTAGACACACTTTTTGAAAAACACATGACACGGGAACATTTCTCAAGTCCTTGGAGCTCTGTTCCTAAGTTATGATTTGTAAAGAATTTTCATTTGCACCCCGCCCCTCACTTCTGACCAGCCACCTTTCACGGACTCCTACATCACAGGGTGACTCTACCTCTGAGGTCGCTTTCTCTTTTGTTGCTTCTCACTGTCCTTGTCCCTTCCTTTTAATCTGCCTTTTCTCTTTTCCTCTTTGCCCAAAATATGTATCTTTGTTTTACTATTTTTTCTTTATATGCTTTTCCCATCCATCCATTAATGATGTTTTTATATACATTTGTACTTACTTTTATGTAACATTATTCTTTTCCAGAAATATTATTTATTACATTTATATGTATATACATAATTCAATTATTAAAATAATTTTTATAGATATTCTCATATAAATACTATAAGAAACTAATTTTTACCAGACAAATTCCAAATGTTGGAATACAGAAAGTGGACTTTTTTTCTATTCACTCAACAAGTGTGCTGAGCATCTTTCATGTACCAGGTGCTGAGGTGAGTGATGATGATGCATGAAGAGTGAATGCTTGTCAATCTTATGAGCAACCAGGGGACTGACACTTGATGAGTGAGTACATTGAAACATGGAGAATGTTAGGACACAGATTGTACAGGATACTCTGGGGATGCAGAAGGCAGGAGGAACTCGCAGAGTTTGAGCTGAGGGACCTCTTCTGGAGGAGGTATCATGGAAGCAGTAGTTAACCAGATTAGGAAGAAAGGTGACTAAGATGATAGTCCCACATGGATGGAGAAGCACGTGCAAAGGTCTGGATTCAGCAAATACAAGTAACCAAAAGGAGTTTAGTATGTCTGAACATAGAGTGAGAGAATGAGAGGGAATGGTGGGAATGGAGAAAGAAGCAGGAGCCTCAGGTGTGGAGCTTTGGAGATCACATGAAGAAGAATTAAATTATTCCTAAAGAAAATTAAGTGATATTTGGCTATTATGTAGGAAATCAGCATGAACATAATTGCATTTTTGAAAGAACAATTTAGCTAAATCACTTAGAATGTGTTTGGTGGGAACAGTATGAGAAGGAGGACAAATAAGGAGCCTGTAGACCTAGTTCAAGTGAGAAGTGATATAGATATGGACGAGAGTGCTGGCATGGAGATGGAAATAAATGGACAGGGTGGAGACATATAAAAGGAATAATTGATAGAGTTAGGTGACAGATAGGGTACATCAATTGAGGAGATGGCTGTGTCATGGATGACTCTGAGAATTTCAACTTGAAAGAATGAGTCAGTTAATAAGTGGTTTAGAGATAGCAAACACTGGAGGAGTAGATGCTTTCTTTAGGGGGCAAGATGATGTGCTCAGTTTTAAAAGTGTTGAGTCTGAGAGACATGTAAGTGGAGAAGTCTAGAACCTTCAGGACCTTAGCCAGAGGCCTTTCTGACACTTGGATAATTGAGTTTGGAAGCTTAGAAGGCAGAGCTGGGCTGGAAATGTGTGTTTAGGAACCATTAGATTGTAGATGGTGATTGAAACCCTAAGAGTACATGAAACCCCTTTGGTGAGGTACCTTGTAATCTGGGTGAGTTACAGGAGCCACTTTGATACCTGGGGACACCTTACCCTGAAAACTCACTGCTAGTGTGAACCACCCCTTGTGCCAATGTTGCTTTTGTCTCATGGTCATCTCAGATCCCACAATTTCTCCATCTCTCTCCTTTCTTTCTTTTACACTGCCCTTTTCTCTCTCTACCACTTTTCTCTCATCTTTTAACCCTTTATCTATGCAGTTATCTCTGTGTCTCGTCTTTATTCCTCTCCATTGATTGCTTCCTGTATGTATCTCATTTTGTCTAGTTTTTTATGCTTCTGTCTCTGGATCTAGTTTTACCGTTGAAGACTCCTCTTTATATTGTCACATCACTTTCTGTTTCCTCTTTGCTTCAGTTTGTTTCTCTTAATCTTATCTTGATCTTTTGGCTTAAAAAACTTACAATCTTTGTGTTTATCTATATTTTCTTCAACCACATTTGGCTTCATCTCACAGTTTACCACTTTCATTGTCACCATCTGCCTGCTTTTTTGACACTGACCACACTATTGACTATTATTACTTCTGCCAGTTCTCTATGAGCTTTCTACATCACAGGACTGTCCATCAGTCACAGACTTTATTATCATGTTTCTGGTGAACTTCCTAGAGGTATCTTGAAAATTATCCATCTTCCTCTACAAAACTTCCCAATCTCGTGATATTTGGATCTCATGTCCACTTAGAAAAACTTGACACTTACTCAGATATCTTTTAATTTGAAGAAATTTACTCAGATATCTTTTCAGCCTAATTTTTCAATTATTTCTCCTTGCATTATCCACTTAGCATCACCTCCCTCCACCCAGAAGCTGAGCTCTTCTTTCTCTTTTGGCTCCTTCAAACCTGTTGAAAACAGTCCAAATCTGTGCACAGGCCTGTCTGTATATGAGTATGTGTATTGGTGTGTGCATGTATGGCAATGTTTTGGGGGAGAGATAGGTAAAGAAGGAAGAGCTTTTCCTCTGTGCAGACAGTAAAACAAAGATAACTGAGAACTAGTATCACAATTGGCTTTTCTATCACATGCTAATAGATTGGCATCTCTTCTGAGTCTCTTCCTCTATTTATTTTTAGAGCTTTGAATCCACAGGACATTGAAGGGAAATAAGGAAACAGCAGACTGTAGATGGCAACCAGGAGACAGACTTTGATGTGGTCATGCTGATCAATGTTCGAAGCTCAGATGGGCTGAAGAAAAATACACCTGTCCAATGACTACACCTCATATCCAACAGAGATTTTCTCTGTCTCTTTCAATCTAGCCACACCTTCTCCTCCTCCTTTTCTTCAATTTTCTGCCCATCTGTGAACTTCTCTGTCCCTGATTTCTCTTAACTTCTGTGTTGATTTCTCTCATTTCATCAGTTATACTCTTAATATCTGTTCTTTTTATTTCTCTGTTCATCCTTTTTGGCATTATCCTTCTAGGTGTTCTGTATATCATACAACTTGTTCCATTCCTACCCTCTCTGTTTCTTTATGGTTTTTGCTTTTTCCCTCTCAATCTGAATATATATTTCAAAATCCACACCAATACTGGTGATTATATACCCACCAATATATATACATATATATGTATATATGTGTGTGTATGTATACACACACACACACACACACACACACACACACATATATATATACATATGTATTTATTATCATTGCTAAATAAGTCTTCTTGCATCAGGCACTGATACATTCCCCTGTGAATATGCCAGGTCCCTCATATCCCCTCTTTCGACTCTGATCATGTGACACAGCTCTTATCTTCCTGCCGGTTACATAAAATAGTCACCCTTTCTTACCCTTAGACATTTGTACATCTATTTCCTCATCCTAAAATGAGGAAGCAAGAGTTAGCCTTCCTAAGACTTAGAGATTTTGTGGTAACAGAGTAAGATCTCATTTGCCAAAGGAATTTAAAATATCATGGTACAATCCAATTACAATGTGATGAATATCTGTCACAGACTATACTAAAGTTTGAGAATGGTGGATCTGAAGCTTTTATTTCTGTCTATAATTACACAGAAGGACCAGTTGTCTTTTGAGGCTTTTACGATTACAAATGACATTAATGTCAACCAGTATATCACTATAGAAATCTAGGATCTTAGTGTTAGCAGGCATGACAGTAAGTGTTTAAAAAGAGACCATCATTTTGGTGATTATTTCTGCTATAGGAATATAAAATTACATACATTTAGTGAATGTGAGTCATTCTATTAAACATGAATTTATAATAATTTCCTGCCTCTTTCCATTTTCTAAAATCCGAAAAGTAGTTCCCAGGATTAACTGGATACAAGGTAGTCAAGGTCTCAGAATAAAATGCACCAGGAAACAGTGTCTTTTCATTCCTGACATTCTGCAGGCCAAGGCTTGGCATCCTAATCTTCTTTACCTGACCCATTTCTCAGGAGTGAGCTAGACGTTTCCTGAGGCTCATCTTCGTTACTCAATTCTGAAGTGTCACCACTGCTGATCCCTGCAGAAAGAAGTAAAATTCCTTTACAGTCTCAGCCTGTGTCCTAGGACCTATACAGCATGGAGTTCTTTAAAAGGAAATCTGGAAAGGGGAAGCTTATGTAGAAGAGGTAGGAATATTCCTACCACCAGGCCCCCTACGGCTCCATCTGACGTCCTGGTCAAGGTTGCTCCAGGGACCACCCCCAAGGCCAGGACTGGACACAGCTTTGCCATGGAAGGCACTCGCTTTGATCACTTCTTTACCCTTTCCTCTTGTCTGCACATACTTCTGCTTCCACTTTGTTTCTTATCCAGGGGGACCGTGGAAGCAACATTTTCAAGATGTCAGAGCCTCCATCAGCTGGGCCCTCAGTGAGCACCCCTCCACCCTGGGAACCACTTTATCCTTTTATGTGAGTGAAGAATAAACCTGTACTGCACTTGTGACACTGAACCTCTTGAGGCCTACAAGTAACATCAATTAGCCCAGCTCACCTAATTCAACATGTATAATGTGAATCGTCTAAAATGCCAACAAGTTTATCATTTGATTTTAAAGGATATTACCAAAAATTTGAATGAAGCTTTTGTAGCAAAGAAAGATATTTGTTACAGCAAGAGTTTTGATTGTTCTTACGTCTTTTCCTGTTGCTTATGCAGCAAACTGATGTGTTTTCAATATCCCAAGGATCTGGAAGGAAAGGAAAATACAACCAGTAATCTATATCTAAAAGGTAGTAAATCTTATGACTACTCACACTGTAGACAGGATTTGGACTATAAAGACACAACGATGATCATTTCTGTCTCTTCCTGTCTAAAGGAAGTGAGCTCTACCAAATGGAGCAAAGGCCCCCCCAGTCCTTTAGCCCTAATTACAAAGTCAAAGAAGTTTTGAAAGCCAATATTTTTTCACAGGTTTGTACTAACTAGTTTGGCAATGAATCTGGACTTCAGCTGCCATGAGTCCAATAAAATATTTATCACAGTTGTTGTGAATTCGCACAATTTGCTGCAGGAACACTAATACAGTATATTTGAGAATGAGATTCTGTCCCAGACCCTACTGGAGTGTTTTATAACAAATAGGATATACACCACACTGTCTTTCTAAAATAATAAAACATTATATCTTACATCTGGCTTTAAAGATTTTGAATAAACGATCATGAATTTTTGCTAAGAGTCCAGGTTGTTAGTTCTGACTCTTCCAATAATTGTCCATATGTGATGTGTAAAGATCCTTAAATGTTTATGTGCTGGAGTTTCCTCATCTGTGAAATGAGGGAACAACAGTTTTCTGACCTACCTTTTAGGTTGTTGTAAACATAAAATGATACCTTATTTGTGAAGATGTTTTCAAATATCACTATACACGCCAATGTCATGTTGCAGGTAATGCTGGGTTCCTACCTGGCTCTGCCTTTCACTCTCCATGTGAGTTCATAAAAGACCCTCAAACATTACCAACTCCAGTTTCCTCATCTATAAACCTGGGATAACCTGGTTACCCTAACTCCCTGTTAAGGTTTTTGTAAAAACAAAGGGAAGCTTTATTTATAAAAACCCTATGAGAAATCACCATGTAAGCCAATGATTTAGCTATAATTGGGGTTTGAGAGTATTTGGTCTTAAGCTATTTTTCCATCCATAATTTAATAGAAGCACAAATTATTCTGTGAAGTCTTTCTAAGTTGGGGACTAATGACAATATTAACAACGTATAGAGGAATGCTGTGCTTAGTATGCTCCATAGAATGAAAGCATGCTGAGGAAGAAGTACACTATTTCCACTCTTTAGCATTAATAGATACGATAGTGTGTAGTAAAAGGTATAATTTTACTAGCATATTTTTGCTACATCTTCAATATATAAATTGACTGGGCTCATCCAGTTAAACAACAGTTTCTATACAATGCCTTCTTGCCTCCTTCCACTTCCCAACAGGGCCAGAAAAGTTAAATGTGGAAAATGATATCCTAGAGTGAATCAAATCAAGGCATGTGGAGAATGCTCAGAATAAGATTCACCAGGAAAACAGAGCTCTGGGTTTACACTCGGGATATTTGCTGTCCGTGGCTGCAATCCTTATCTTCCTACATGAGCCATCTGGGATCATGAGCAGGTGGCTTCTCTGGCCCCTCCTCCCTCACTTGGTTCTAAAAAGTCAAGGTTATTGGTCACTGCACAAAGGAACAGGATTCTCGAGGGGTTTGGGCGTGTGACCAAGGAACCCATTCAGCGGGAATTTCCCTCGTGAGAAAACTTGCAGAAGTCTTGAAAAGCCATGCGAGGCATGGCCTGCACCCAGGCCACTCTGGGCTGCCTTTCTAAGTCATCTGCTGTGTAGGTTAGTGATGTTCCATTCCCTGTTTCCAGAGCAGAGACAATTCAAATGCAAGGGGCAACTTTGCTCTGCTTGAACCTTACCCTCCTTCCCTTCTCTCTCTTCTACTTCTGACCCCTTCTGTTGTCTTTTCAAGCTTCCTTCATCTGCTGTTTCTCATGTAGGGTACCTTGGAGACCTTGTGTTCAGGACCTTGTGTGAGCCTACTCTCCTCACCTCCTCCCACCCCCTGCCAACCTGGTGCCCTCCTGAACTATTTGCAAGCCTGGGAAATAATTTTCTCATGTGTCTGAGCCGTAGATGTGTTTTAGGACTATCTTCTAGAGCAGTCTTCCTACTAGTACTAAGACAAAAGTGTTCCCTAAAAACTGCAACAAATCTACATTTTACTTTGATAGATCTAGTGAGCAATTAGATTGAGTGTATTATTTAAAATATTGCTCTTTTGTAGCACCAAGATCAGGTAACATTCTATTTCTTCTTAGGACTGTTCCTAGTGTGTTTCCATAAATAGGTATGTTTCTGATATTGTCTAGGTCTGAAAAGTAGAAAGGGACAAAAATTCACCAACTGTACACTACAGAGACACAGATCTTATGCAACTCAGGCTACCCATAGGATTGAGGAAATAACATTTTGATAATCATTTCGAGCTTCAATTTTACAAGAAAATAATGCAGAATCCAGGATGCTAGCCTTGTTATTCCCTTCAGTCTCCCATGAGACTTTGTAGAGAACTTGAAACATTTATGTGATTGTGTTTCCTCATCTAAAAGCAAGGGTTACAATGTCCATCCTGCTTAGCCCTTAAGGTTGTCGTAAGATATTTTTTGCAAAGGTCCTTTGAAAAATCACTGTATATGCCATGACTTGTTGAAGAATTCTGTCAAAAACAATCCTTTGGGTTTCAGAATGCCTTATATGAAGTCTTTATTTCTGCTAACACTAGGTAGCTGGACAAGTTATGACATGATTCAAGTTTGTGATCAGATGATAATATGACCTTCCAGTAAAGGAATACAGCCCACCCTTGAACAATATGGGTTTGAACTGCACAGGTCCACTTAAACTCAGATTTTTTCCATACTAAATACTACAGCAGGACTTCCCTGGTGGCACGGTGGTGGAGAATCTGCCTGCCAATGCAGGGGACAAGGGTCCGATCCCTGGTCTGGGAAGATCCCACATGCTGCAGAGCAACTAAGCCCGTGTGCCACAACTACTGAGCCTTCCGCACCACAACTAGTGAAGCCCATGCACCTAGAGCCCGTGCTCCACAACTAGAGAAAGCCCCTGCTCAGCAACGAAGACCCAACACAGCCAAAAAAAAAAAAAAAGAAAAAGAAATTAAATACTATAGCACTAAACGATCCACAGTTGGTGGAATTCATGGATGCCACCTGCGTGTATGGAGGGCTGACTCTTAAGTTATAGGCAGATTTTTGACTGCACTGGAGGTTGGTGCCCTTAACCCGCGCATTGCCAACCGTATTTAGCTTTCTGTTCTTTGTAGAAATCACTGCATAAATCCACCACTTCATAGGCATAGCAACTAGTAGGGTTTTTTATTTTGGCCGCGCACAGGCTTTCTCTAGTTGCGACGAGTGGGGGCCACTCTTTGTTGCGGTGCACGGGCCTCTCATCGCGGTGGCTTCTCTTGCTGTGGAGCACGCGATCTAGGCACACGGGCTCAGTAGTTGTGGCACGTGGGCTCAGTAGTTGTGGCATGCGGGCTCTAGAGCGCAGGCTCAGCAGCTGTGGCGCACGGGCTTAGTTACTCCGTGGCATGTGGGATCTTCCCAGACCAGGGCTCAAACCCGTGTCCCCTGAATTGGCAGGCGGATTCTTAACCACTGTGCCACCAGGGAAGCCCACAGCTAGTAGTTTTAAACACACTCATTACTTTGCTGGCCTATTTCTACTATATAATCAATACAGGGTATGTATATTTATTAATGGGACCCAATAGTTAATAGGCCTCATCCTCAGATATAGATTTCATATCTCTCTGCATTTCCCATAAAAGTCCAGTAAAATAAAGACAGAGAATAGGATTCCAGAGTAAACTGGAACCATGCTACAGAAGGGGCTCAGAATAAGATGCTCAGGAAACAGTGACTCTAGTTCAGGTTCCTGCAGCCTAGGCCTGGCTCTCCCACTTCCTTACCAGACGCCTTTCTCAGTGCTGATGTGGAGGGTTCTGGGGACATGTCTCCATCACTGGATTCTGCGGAGTCCTCACTGCTGATCACTGCACAGAGGAACAAAACCACTTAGGATCTCAGGGTGGAGCCCACACAGCAGGAAACCTCAGAATGAGAGCACTAGGAAGATCTAGAAGCTAGGTTAACTCAAGGCACCGTGACCTGTGCTTGAATGTGTGTGACCTGCAGGTTTCTCCAGGTCCTGCACAAAACGTGATGATATTCACAGAGGGCAGCTTTGCCCATTCTGCCAACACTCTTCTTCCCTCACCCTCATTCTACCTCTTACCACCACCCTCAATCTACCTCTGACCCTCTACTTCATTCTACCTCTTTCTTTCATTCTTATTTTATTTCCTTACCTTCCTCTTGGCTTGCCCAATTTTCCCTACTTATGCCTCTCTTTCTGGGGATGGTATCTCTTTATACCTCGCTTTGTCTTCATGTGTTTCTTTTCCATCTCCTCTCTTGAATACCTTGGGTCTCTGATTTTTTTCCCTTTTCTTTATCTTGTACCCCCATACTTTCCTCTCTTGCCTTAGAAATTGTCTCTTGGACATCAATACTTATTATTTACCCCTTTTGTCTTTTGATATTTTTCCAGTTCCTGGGGAATCTCTTCTGCTAAACTCACTGCAGAGGGCACTGGTTCCCTCCCCTTCCTGCCTCTGCCCGTGGCCACCAGCCTCTGACCTGCCCCAGCCTCTTGCCCTGTTCCTGTGATTCCTGCTCCACACTGTGTCAGCCTTACCTATTACATCAGGTGCCTGGTTACAGTCAGTCCTTGCCTGGGTTTGCCATTCAACTTCGGGGTTAAAAAATGGCTTTTCCTTCTTTATATCCACTAGAAGGACAGAACAGGAATTCATTTGAAATCCATGGTTGGGTAGCGTTGCTTCTGGATCAAATTGTAATGAATGAAGAATTTTAATTTGGCACTCCAAAAGATAGTAAGCACTGTTCATTAGCATTAACAGCCTTCTCCTTGTAATTCCACTGCAGGAGGGAGGCTTCACCCCGACCCTTCTCCTTGCTGCTGTTCAACTCTGTCCCTTTCTTTGTGTCTCTCTCAATTCTCAGGTTTGTTTTTACTTTCTTTTCACTTACTTTTCTCATCTTTTGATGATTTTTCCCTTTTCAAAAATAAAAATCACAATTGCAGTATAACCCATAATAAAAATGCATAAATCATAAATTTTGAATTATCACAGAACAAGCATATCTGGGTAACCATCACTTTGGTCAAGTAATAGGAGATTACTAACACTCCAGAAACCTCTTAGAGATGCCCCACTAACTGTCCAGATGTATCTGGCTCAAGTTAACCACCACTTTGACACTTTTAATACCATAGATGATTGATTTTACTAGTTCAAAATTTATACAAATTTATATAAGTGGAATCATTCACTCTTGCTCTCTCTCTGTGTCCCTCTGACTTTTCAGGGGCAGGGGTGGATTTGGCTTCTTTAGTCAACATGTGTGTGATAGTCATCTGTATCCATTTCATATATTTATCTTCACCACTATATAATATTCCTTTATAGAAATTATCCATTAAAAAATAAAACCATAAAATATCAATTTTTGCTGGCTCAAGCTCTAGAATACTATGAATAATGCTATGATGAACATTCTTTTGTATGTGTTTTGATGAAGATAATATGCATTTCTGTTGATCTGTTGAGGAATGTAATTGCTGAGTCATAGGCTATGTGTAAAGTTAGGATTGACAGAAGTGACAGAACCATGGCTGGCTTAATCCACTAAGTTTTGGGACTATTTTTTTATACAGCAATAGATAACTGATACAGCTTCCAAATAGAGATGTCCATCAGATCTTTGAATACAGATCTTCAAGCACTTGGAGGAATGAGTCTAGAGATAGGTCTGGCTGGAGATGTACATCTAGGAATCAATAGATGATGGATGGTACTGAAACCATGGGGAGGGTGAGATGCCTGAGGAGAGGCCTATTTTTATCTGAGGGGGTTACAGGGCTATTTTGATCATTGCAGATACCTTACCCTTCTCAATGGTATTAGGAACAGTCCCTTGTGTCTTCTTGTTTGATGACTGTCTCCTCAAATGGGGCAATGTCTTGATTTGTCTCCTCTCTCTGTTTGGCCCACTCTCTACCAATTTTTAATTAATTGTCCTTTAAGTTATTCTCTTTGTGCCTCTCCTACCCCCATTTTTCTATTTATTGGTATTCTTTTTCATCTGTATCTTTCTCTATTCATCTCTTTTCCTCTACATTTGTAATCACTGTCCCCAGGGTCCAGCAGGGTCTAGGACCAGGCAAAGGAGGTGCCTGGGGCACACAAATGTGCCAAGGGTAAGATAATCCTTATATGTGCCCCAGGGTCTCACCCTAGACCTGAGCCTGCTGTCCCGTACCTGCTTTTTCAATGTATCCATTCTCCGTTACGTTTCCTACTTTCTCCTACTCTATCCCTGTTTCTTAATTATTATTATGACCTGCGTATGTCTCCTCTATATCAATTTTGTCTTTCTATATATTTTCCTCATTTAAGCATTCAAATCATCACCAAAGTTCTCCCTGTGTGCCACTGTCCAACAAACCACATCCCTCTACCTGCCACTTCCTTCTAAAAGGCCCTTCACCTGGGCTTCCTTACTTGCAAATCTGACCTGCAACATCTTACATGATTTACATGTTTCTGTTATAACCTCTGAAAAGGAAGTTGCAACTTATTTCTTTTCATCACCTCCACAACATGGCATTATTTTGATTCCATGTCAATTTATCTAAAATCTATCTCACTCTTGTACTTTGTTATTTGGTGCTCCACAGTCCACCTTTTCCTATTCTTCCTCTTTGCATTCTCTTCCCAGGGACACCCCATCCACTAAAGAGCTCAGCTCTCCTTCTCCCTCGCAACTTACACCTGCTAAAATCAGCCAGAGGTTGTGGAGAAGGCTGTGTGTCTTGGACAGTGTTAGGATTGGGAAGGGGTGTATTGGTATGGGAGAACAAAGGAGAGCTTTTACTCTCATAGAAAAACAAAGATGGAATTAGAAAATTGGTAAGTAATTACTTTCTTCCTCATAAGGCAATGGGCTGGGTGTCTCTTTTCTTGCATCACCATTATTTGATTGGATAGGTACTTGTTCGCAGGACTCTGAAGATAAAAAAGACCACAGAGACTTGCTTTGCCCTGTTTCCATTTTCTTGCATTTCATCCGACTTCTCTTTCCTTCTTATGTTTCTACTTACAGGCTGTCTGCGTATATTGCCACCTTCACCCCGTGAAAGTACCATGTTTCATTGATTCTGGAGCCGATCTCTCCCTGACTTGTTCGACTTTTGTTTCTGTCTCTCTTCCCCGGTGGGGCTCTGCAACTCTTTGCCTTCTGTCTCTTAGTTTTTCCTTTCTCACTTTCTTCCTCCAGGTCTCTCCCATCAATATATCAGGCCCCATTCCTGCCCTCTGTGTATCTGTGTGATTTTCCCCTTCTTTGTTAATAGATGTCTTGAGTGGTGCATTACTTCCTTCTCTGCCACTAGTCAGGACCTCTTGGCCATTCCACACTCACGCAAACCCAGCCAGTCTTACCTGCTGGTTCAGACTCTTGGGCACATTGTTCATTTGCTTGTTGGCTTTCTAGCGCATCGATTGGGTCACTGGTTGTATCTTGCCTCGTTGCATTTATCTGTTCTGTTTCACAGAGGTGATCCAAGAGTGCATTTTCAGGTGAGGTCATACCTAAATCATGTTTTGATTCATCATACTTTGTTTTCCTCTGGCATCAGTCAGCGTCCAACAGGAAAATACAAACATTTTTAAGCTTTTAAAGCAGAGGAAATTTAATCCAGGGATTGGTTACTTGGTGAATGGAAGAGCAGAGAAGATCAAGTGGAAGAATGCAGCAACCTGAAGCACAGTCAACAGAAAGCTATGGGAGGGACGGAGGGTGGGCTCATGGGCTGAGGTCACTGGGTAGGCAGAAGCTGGACCGTGGCTGGCCTGCCTGGTGGAAGGTGGAGTCAAGGCTGTGATGCAGCCACTCCTAGAATTGCCACTGGAGATAGTGGTGGGGCAACACCTGGCTTCTCCCTTATTCCCACTCTCTTACTAGTGTCTCCCACGTTAGGAGCCCAGCGGGGAGCCAGAAGCAAGGGGAGCTGGCAAGCAAGTCCGCAGGGGCCAGTGGCCAGAGAGCAAGGGCAGAGCAGGGGAGGGTAAGGAATGAGGCCCTGGGTAAACCACCCAGGACCGGCACACACGCCCTTCCCCCATGGCAAACCTTCTCTGCTCATTATTGATTCCATCCACCCATCCCACTCTGTTCCCACCGGCCTCAATAATGTATGAATACATAGACATATTTTTCAGTGCAGTGTGGATTTTTCTCATTTAGTGCTTTTCTAAACAAAGTAATTTACGTAAAGCATGATTTAAAATTATTTCCCAAGGTTTTAATACAGAACGTGGGTCCTGGTGCATGCTTTGTGCCACATCCTGGTGGGCATGAGACACAGCCCTTCCTGTCCCTGTGCATGTCACAGCCCGCCGTACTTGTTGGGTCACACTCTTGGACACACTTATCGGTGGCCTGTTGTGTATCATTTGGGTCCTAGGTTGAAGTTTCTCTCTTCATTGCTCGCCATCACTGAGATGCTCTGGGATTCCACTTCCTGGCAGGGTTGCCCCCAGACCACACTGTGAGTTTTAAAGAATTTCATTGCCTCCTCCCTCCACTCCCCCCCCCACCCCCCGCCACACACACACACGTAGAATCCCTTCTCTCTGCTCCTTACTCGTCGCAGTGCCATCCACTCACCCCTTCCTGTTCCCACCAGCTGTACGAATAGATGAATGGCTAATATGTATTCATACATTTTGGGGTATTTTAAAATGTTAACTTTCTGAATAATTGTGATTTGGTAAAAGTATAACTGTGTTTTCAGAAATCACTCTGAAAGTTTTTTCTTTTCTAAAAATGTATTACTAATTTAGAACATTCTTTCTTAAATAACACATCCCGACTGGAAGCTACATAATAAGAGCCTTTCATATTGTGGGAAGTTCCCTGAGCCTCTTCTATGTTCCTTAATTCCTAAGGAGAGTCATGGAAAAAAGATTTATAATTTATTATAGACTAGTGTGCTCTAAGCATGGGGAAACTATGACCCTCAATTTATCTTCCTGGGCCAGAAGTTGGTATTGCTTTTATCACTGCTTTTCCAGCCTGGGGAATCAGTAAATCCAACGGACATCTGTGAGAGAAGAAAATCCCAAAGTTTACTATAATGGTTAAAAGCTTAGACTCTGGCACCAGATACAAATAATGATGATAATTAAATGTAGTAATAATAACAAATGCACGGAACACTGATGAACCCCCAGGCATGATTGTAAGTGCTTTACAGGATATGACTTGTTTAAAATCCAGCACCCTCTGAAGTAGGTACTATTATCATGTCCTTTTTAAAGATGTTGAAACTGAGGGACAAAAAGAGGTAGTCACTTCCCTGAGATCGCGAGGTAGAATTTGAAGCTAGGCCATGGGCACCTGAATTCCTGCTGTGACGCTATTCACAGCAGAGTTCAATCCCAATTCTCAGTTGGGTGAACTTGTGCAAATAACCAAACTCTCTAAGCTGATACTTTTTCCTCTGAAAAACAAGGGTAATATATACCTCGTTTTCAGGTTTGAGGGAAGATTAAATAAACTATTAGCTGCATCAATATACAGTATACTGTGATCGGAAAAATCAAATCATTATGATTAATGTTTTAGATTAACAATATATTTTTTTGTACCAGTATTTTTTACTCAGGATCAAACACATGCTGAATACCTAGTATCAGTCATTCTGGGTAATGCATTTGCATCATTGTTCCATTTCATAGCCTCATGACAGATAGGTATGATGATCCCTACATTACAAATGAGAACACTGAGACTCAGGGAAATAATAATATTTTAAATAATAACACTATTAAGAGTGTTATGGGCTAATGGAGGTCAAGCGCTGTAAGCAGTGGTTATTAGTTGCTAAAGTACCAAAGGTTTCTTTCGGATGCCTGCCTGGTGTTTGGAGGGCAGCTCCTGGCCTCTGCTCCAGGGATGGAGGGAGAGGGTTTGCACGGGAGACAATTGGTGTCCATGGCCCTGGGTGAGGGACCCGGCAGGGGAGGTACCCTGTCCCCTGAGGAACGCTCATCACCTGCTCCCCCGCCACTGTGGCTGCAGCACTGACCACTGCTGCACATGACATCAAAGCACTGAGGTCGCTGCCTGATCAAGCAGGACAGAGCAGAAAACTGTGAAGCCAGGCACCTGGGCAAAAGGTCCAGGCCCAGAGCCTTCAGGGACTGGCAGCAAGTGCGTTTAAGGAGCGTGGAAGGAGCCACCCTCCCAGGCAACCCAGAGTACGAAGACTCTGTTATCTAAATCCTCGGAGAAATTGCAGATGCAAAGACTGACAAATTTTTGTTACAAAGCAGCAGCCACTCCGCCCCCAAAACAGTCCAGAATGGGACACAAGCAGCAAAGGATCATAGAACAGAGTCAAGAACAGACCATCATAAGATGAGGACTCTCTGCAACACCAAGTCCGGCCTTGACAGGAGTTTTCCCAAGTCCGTAGGGGGGAAAATTAAAAGTTTATCTCAGATATTGAAGTATGGGCTGTGCCAACCTCCCCTAATCCCTTTTTTATAGGTAAGAAGTTTAAGAGCCCCTGCAGATATCAATACAGAGACCATCTGGACCTGGTGGATCTCATCCAACTCTTGTAGTCAAACTCCAGTCCATAGACTGGAAGACAGGTCAGCGGCACCCTGGCTGAGAGTGCCTCGGCCAGGCCATCTCCCTGGGTGACCTCCACCAGCCATTCAGTAACTAGTGATGGCTTATCTTGACTCCCACGGTCATAGTGAACTTGCCTGTGTCCCCAGAGCTGCCCCTGACTGGTGGCCTTCCCTTACTTCCTGCAAAGTCCTGCTGCCTCTTCCCCACTCCCTCTTACTCCACTCCCTCCCTGTGCAGGTCTTGTTGGCCTTTCCATGAGGATTCAGTGTCTGATTCTCCACTTTCTCCAGCCCTTGGGATTCTTTTTCAGTATCTTTCCCTCTTTATATGTTTCCCTATTTTTTTTTTTTCATGGTTCTGTCTTTTCCATTAGGTTACCAGGTAGTATCCAGGGTTGCAAACACAGGCTCTGGGTTCAGAATGCCTGGGTCTATCCTTGCTCATTGACCCCAGGACGACTATTTACATGGTCTATCTAGATTTCAGCTTCCTTATCTGCAAAATGGGCACATAAGTGATAACATCATCCAATGGCACTAATCCCACAACTGCCAGAATAAATGTTCAATCAAGTGAGCTGTTAATAACTTGGTTGTTTTTGTTGTGTCTCTGACCCCTTTCTCCTTTCATTTCTTCTTTTTCTTCCTCTCTGTCTCTCAAATACCCACATCCTCTCCTCCACGTCTCTACCACTTCCTCGCTTCTGTCTCTGTATGACTGCCTTTCTCCTTAAACATTCCTGCTCTTGAACAATATCCCCCACGTTTAAATCGGTCCCTTCTTCTGCTATCATCAAGGGTCTCCTCTTTGACGTTGACCTTGGGCCCATAGTCCTTAGCCCTTCACACCTTTACACTGATCTTCTCCTACAGGAGTCTTTCTAAATCACAATTACTTCCAGGTAGTCATTCTCTTTAAATCTGGTTACTGACACCCTGGGTTCCTCTTCCTTTGTCTTGGTATTTGGGCCAACAATCTCTTGTCACAGCTACTTCTCCAGGACTCAGCCTCTCGTTCGATGCTCATATAGACACCCCTCGCCACCTTCTCCATGGTCCTTCAATATTTCTTCCCTGATTCTCAGTGTTTGCTCAGGACTCGGACTCCCACCTCCCCTTCTCCTTTTCCTCTTAGCAGATGAGAATCGCTTTTGTATTTGTCTCAATTACCTTGCTCAAGGCTTAGTGGGAGAGTAGGCCTCTCCTCCGTCTCTTCTTCATTGCTTTCTTCATGATTAATTTTCTTCTGGATTGCTGAAGAGAGGGACAGAGAAGAAGACAATTAGAGATCTCCACCAGAGACCAGGAACACCATCTCAAAATTACAAATTTAGAAATTCCTAGCCCTGGGGTCACTCAGAGCTCAGCGGGTCCCAATCTTCATGGTAAAGTTCCCCCATCATCCTTGGACAGAATAGAAGCCCCAGCAAGGGAACTGCTATGTTCCACACCCAGAACTGAGCCACTTGTATGTAAGGATAAAGGAGTCGTGGAAACATCCTGATCCTGTCAGTTATGTAAAATAAACCTCACATCGTGGGGAAAGCACATGTCAAGATAAATAAGGAAAGTGAAATGTGTTTACTGAACTGTTCAAACTGTAAGGAAGAAACAGAGACTTCCTCTGGAGAAGGGGTAGGATCCTAGAGAGATCTGTGTGTATAAAAGGGAAAGCCCAAGAGCTATAAAGATGGGACTAGGGACTTCCCTGGTGGTCCAGTGGTTAAGACTTTGAGCTCCCAATGCAGGGGGCCCAGGTTCCCATCCCCGGTCAGGGAACTAGATCCGCATGCCACAACTAAGAACCTGCATTCTGCAACTAAAAGAGCCCGCGTGCTGCCTGAAAGATCCAGCGTGCCGCAACTAAGATCTGGTGCAGCCAAATAAATAAATAAATATTAAAAAGAAATAAAAATAAAGATGGGACTAGATAAGACGAGGGTTGGGCTTAATTGTGCTGGGGAGGATGAGCGGTTCCAAAAGAGACCAAGCAGAGGGGCTGACACGTGTGGTGGGGTTACTAGACAGGGTTCCCATAGTGGTCCAGATCCCACAAAGGACACTCTGAAGCCGCAAGCAGGGAGTGCCTGTGGCAGCACTGCAGGACGTCCCCACGACTCCAGGACCAGGGACCCAGGAGGCTGCCCCAACGAGGAGAGGCCAGGACACCAGCCCAGGGCCCCTGCAGCTAGGTGACCCAGCAAGCGTAGGAGGAAGGAAATAAACCAGGGAGCCTAGGGGGTGGGTCCCTGCCAGGAGTCCGGGGAGGAGACACCAGGGGAGGCAGTGGAGCCCGGGCTGCCCCAGAGCTGATGGCAGGAGCACCTCCTGGGACAGTGCCTTCGAGGGGGTGAGATGGACAGGACTGTGAGAGCCATGGCTGCTTTGTCTTCCCCAGGACACGGGCTTCAAGCCTCAGCAAAACCAGGCGGAAGGTACGAGGAGAACAATGGCCCAAAGCCCAGAAGAGTTGAAGGAGGGCTGTGGGCAGGCACTGGGGGCTTCGGCACATGAGATGGAGGTGGGGACCTGGCAACAGGAGAGAGGTCACGCCCTGGCCACAGTCCCCAGCCTCTGGCTTTGGTCACTGACCCGAGCTCTCAGGGACAGCAGAGTCCAGGAGGCGGCGGCAGCAACCTCCTCTAGGGGCAGGTGGATGGCAGCCAGTGTAGGTGCGAGTCGCCCCAGCATTTAAAAAGCATAAATTATGCCTTCTCAGGAAAAAGTCAAGATTTAGTTTTTTTTTTTTTTTTTTTTTTTTTTTGTTCGGTGCTTCTTTTGTGTTGTTCTTTCGGTGTTCTGCGCTG